CTATTATGCATGATAATTGGTTAAAGATTCTTCATTGTGATTTCATTTTAACATTTAGTATTTCTGCTTTGTTTGTGGTTTGGAAAGAAAATTATATACGTATATACTTGTACGTTTTAATAGCGCCCATTAAAGTTAAGTTAAGTCATTGAGCTAATATTTTAACATTTTAAGTTAAAGGTAAGCTCAAAATAACAATTCTTTTACAATTCTTGTGGAAATTTGATAACTATTTAATAAAAATTTAATCAAAGTATTTACAGTCTGAAAGATAAAATGTTTATGGCAGAAAATTCGTATAAACGAAGAAACTTTTGTCGTTTCTATCATTTTTTTCCATCAGTTAGTTATTAAGCTAATATTTTAACATTTTAAGTACAAGGTAAGCTCAAAATAGCAATTCTTTTACAATTCTTGTGGAATTTTGGTAAATATTTAATAAAAATTTAATTTTAATGAAAGAACAAATTTTTATTGCAGAAAATTCGTGTAAACAAAGACAGTTTTGTCGTTTCTATCATTTTTTCCATCAGTTAGTTAAGCTAATATTTTAACATTTTAAGTAAAAGGTAAGCTCAAAATAACAATTCTTTTACAATTATTGTGGAATTCGTTTCTATCATTTTTTCCATCACTGTATATTTTGTGGGGTCTGCGACGCCTTCTTCTGTGTGTTACAAGTACACTCGCACGAAACTAGAATACCCTTTTACCTTTTTGAGTACAGCCTATACAAATATTCCCTTCTCGTAAAAATTTTGTGACAACCGGATACAAGTCGATCACAAAGTAACACTGTGTTCGTTTCAAAAATGACGATTGAATTATTTCAACATTTTCCGAAGCCTTTTAATTGACGAAACTCGCTTATAATGGCAGTTAGCAAGTGGTATGCACGATTCAAGAATGGTGATAACGACGACGAATATGTTTGCCAGCCTAATTTTGAGATTACAACGATGCAAAAATTAGCCCACAGAATTGGTGAAATTAATGGAAATGGAATTAAATATCTTCAAATCAACGATTCTTCACATTTTAATCAAACAGTTGAATAATAACCACAGTTCCGTCTCATCGGTCGACACTCGTTACTGATTTTTCGACAAAAAATTGCATCACTAGCCATTACCCATATTCGCCTAAATTTCCGAGGAGAGACAACATTGTATTAACTAATTCTGTGGTCCAACTTTTAAAGAGAAAGGCTTGCTTTGCTACGCAACGAACAGTTTATTTACACATATCGGAGTTTTAAGTAGAAATTGTTCATATAATTAAAATGGGCTTAAATTTTGGTCAGAAAAGCAAACAATTTGTCCAGAAATTCATTCAGTATTATAAGTAAGCCTTGAAATGAACAACTCAATTAGTTTTCTGTGTTTTTTGAAACAGTTTAGACGCATTTATCGGTCCGTAATGGTTTTATAATAATCTTCATGGCCTTTTGTGTCAATTAAAAACATATAATTATGGTGAAAAAATATAAAAAATCATTAAACACCTAATGGTTGTGCGCAAATTAGTGGGCTTGATCAAATTATTGTCAAGATTTTTTAATTGCCTTTTAATTGTTTCTTTGCGAGAAATGTGTTGGGGTTTGACAGAAGAAATGTACTTTCTCGATAAAAAGAATATTTCGACAAGTTTAGTTGATCAGTAGTTGATTAGTAATAATTAATAATTAATATATGTATATAAGGTTACATCGATAGCTAAAAGTTGGTAATAACAGAAATTTGTTACTCAATCCACAAGAGACTTAGGCTCGCCCATGTCTGTTGGCATTATTTAGTTAAAATTATCGGGGTGAAGTCTGACTCCTCATTTTTGAAACCATTTCTTTACAAACTCAGCAAAGAATTCTATCTAATATAGACTTTAAGTGGCTCACAATTAATTACAGATGCCTTGATTCCGTCTCTTCTTGATTAGCTTTCGAGGTTTAAGCCAAAAGAGAAACGCAATGAAGGTGAGAATTGGTGAGGTTTTAGTGAGTTGTGAGTTACTAATCAAGGCCTATGTATGTGAGACTTTTGTACGAGTACTCTCCACCTCAGGGAGAGTTGGCGGCAAGCGCAAATATTTGAGGTCCCGAAACACGTGTAGTTGCAGGTGTTTAGTAACCGGTCAGTAGTGCCTAAGTGGAATTTGATTGCGTGTGGAGTGGCAGCGGAAAGTTAACGATTATTTACAAAACAATATGCCGCCACCAGAGGACGAGGGACAAACCCTAATGTTGTTAGCGAGGGGGGTGGCGGTGTGTCCGTGTCTGCGTCCACGTCCGCGTCCGATTTCGAGTCCAAGTCACGACAGGAAAAATCAAACAGGTGCACTAAATGAATTTCAATATGAGAAACCACTTGTGGTTACTGTCGCCATTGCTGCTGTTGCTGTTGCTGTTGTTGTTGTTGCTGTTGAGGAAATGTATCTGCCACCGCCTGAACCACAGAAATAGAAGCAGGCACAGTCACAGTCACAGGCACAGGCACAGGAATAGACACAGGCAGGGAGCGTTTGAGTGCGTGTGTGTTTGTGTATTTTTGGATGAAAACGATTTGAGGGAAATTGAACCATATGTTGCAAATACTAATGGATATCCAGGCAGTATGGTTTGGCTCGCCACTCGCTGCCGGAAATATGAAAGTGTAATTTAAATTGAATTAAGTGTACTTTTTGGTTAACATGCCGTGGGGGGTTGACTGCCGACTGCCGACTGTCGACTCTCAATTCTCGACTCATGGCTGGTAGCGCCGCGGGGCAGACAGAATAGCCAAACCACCCAAGTTGAGCCGGTTTCGGCAAAAGTTTGTCCATGTCCTGGTTGCTGAAAAATCTGTGATAAATGCCTGCAAAGTGGCCGAGATCTCTGACTGTCTGACGGTCTCTCTGTCTGTCTGTCTGTCTGTCTGTCTGTCCGTCTATGCCACTCGTTAAACTAGGGCTGCTACCTCATTAAATCGCTTCGCACATTTGCACTGTTGGAAAAATTGATAATGTGTATTTGTTTTGAGAGCCTTGTTGTTCCTTGTATAGTAATTGTTACAAATGTGCGGAGCACACCACCAGCCAGCCCCCTCTCAGCTCTCAGTTTTATGACGGATATGATTATTTTAATTAGCATTATATTTGCTGTTGTTTACCCTTTCGGTTTCTTGATTGCCATTGCCATCATAATTGGCTTTTCATATGCTCGCAAATATTGTAGGCAACAACCCAGTGGAGATGGGGTTCGTTTTGGCGTAAACGAGTTTAGCTTAATGAGTTTTCATAATGTTATGTTGAGGAGGCCATTTGTGGGGTGGAGGTGGGGACGCTGTGGCTGCCACATGTTGCCAACGCTCTTGACATTTGGCAACACATTAACAAATGAAGTGGAAAATCAACTTTGACGCTAACTCCCGAACTAGGCTGACAATGTCAGCCGGAGCGGAAAAGGAAGCCCTCCCTATGGCACATCACAAGTCGACTGTTTTAACAGATATAGATTTCAGTTAAATCTGACAGAGAGTGTCTTTGAAAATGGCGCAAATTTTTGTTGACTACTTGTTTGCATTTGTAAATATATTTACATAAATAAATAAATAAAGGCGCGTGCAACACATCTGACAATTCATATAACAACTCTGCCGAGTACACCTTAGAGTGCAAAAATAATACTTGAAATAAATGTTTATTGCCGGTTAAATAACCTGAGCTGCCAACTACTTTCGAAGAGACTGATTTATTCATAATATTACAATTGATTATATTTTTACTAAAGCATTCTTATTATACATACACTTTATCTAAAGGTGTACACCAAGAATGTACACCAAGAATCCCCTAAAGCATATACATATTCTTCTGTTTGAGTGCATGGATTTCAAAAAGTATAGGAACTAGAATAACCGAACCTGATATCCAGATTCTCCTAAGTGCGATGCAGTCTCTCCTCCATTCGACATTTCATTAACATTTTTTTTTATAAAACACAATTTAATAATTTCAGCAAACTTAACATGTAATTTCTGAAATGAAAATCAACATGTTCTCAATTATAATAATTAGTCTTATTTGAATAAAAAAAAGTCTCTTTCCTCCATTCGACATTTTATCAACATTTTTTTTAGAAAACTCAATTTAATAATTTAAGCAAACTTAACATGTAATTTCTGAAATGAAAATCAATATGTTCTCAATTATAATAATAATTCAGATTTGAATAAAAAACACTTCTTTAACCAAGTTTCTGCTGAAAGCGCAGGAGATTCGTTTTTTTAATACTTTTTATTTAATTGAATGCTGCGCAATACCAGTTTGATATTTTTTAGATAAGAGACCTTACAGAATTTATAAACTGAAAGTAATTTTGAATTCATGCTGTGAGATGATGGTAGGTATTTCAACGAATAGTGCTGTCAATACATAAACAAAAACTATGATTTGTATTATAATATAATATTATAAAATAGAATAAAGATATTTAATAATACAACGTTATAATTTCAACTTAAAAGATAAGAAAGCCTATGAAAAAAACTATACAATAACGTCTATTAATGCCTCCGACCCGTTGGGGGATTTTTATTTGCCATTTGGCCAGCTATGCCCCGAATCACCTAGCAGGCTAAAAAAAATAGAAAGTAGAGGAAGGAAATGTAATTCTACTTAACAGCTAAGAAAGAGAAAAGGAGTAAAAGGGAAATCTCCAACCCGGTGGGGGAAACCCACAGGAACAAACTCACATTGTGGAATTCCTACTAGCTCGTGGAGCTATGCCAGGCCCCGGAGCTTTGTGATGCAACGAATTGAGTTCCAGTTTAGTTGGAACTGAATTGAAAGGTAATTGTGGGGCCACTCTCAGCTATAATGTCCTTGAACAGTGGTAGGCTCTGATTTGAGTGTTCACGTGAACTGAAACAAGGCTACACATAACTTTTCGAGTTCTCTAACATCACACATCAAAACATAAAACATCTAACAAATTCAAACACACAATCAATATCGACATCAACGTCCGGGTTATTTGGACTCTTCGGCCATTAGACTGATCCCCAAATCGCAAACAATGCAGCAGAACTATGTATCCAAAGTTGGCTCTGCTACCGATGCGGACACGGGCTCGGACTGGAGTTCGGACTGGAGCTCGGATCACGAATCTGGCTATGGCAGTGGCTACACATCGTCAACCAGCCACGCTGGCGATGAGTTGGCACAGCTTGAGGAAGAGTTTCGCATTATTCGCGAGAACTCCGTGTTGCGCCAGCAGGAGTTCGACCGAATCTTCCGGGAGCAAGAGGAGATAATGAGGGGGCTGGGCATTGTCCGGGAGCATATGCGGCAGCTGGCACAGCAGATGGCCCAGCTGCAGAATTCGCGCCCGTTGGGTCTCCTGGAGCTCGCACAGCCGCCCACAAATAACGCCAACCAGAACGCGCTAGTTAACGATATTGCGGGTGAAATCAGTGACTCCGACTTAGCCCCCACGGATGGAGAGGATAGCGGCTACTGTGAAAACTAATTGCATGGACAACCCTTTCTGCCCCCCGGCCTGCGGTAAGCGCCCAGCTCACATTGCTGGTCACACGCCCAGAGTTTTTTCTATCCTTTTTTTCTTTTTTGGAACTTTCTCGTATCATTCGCAGCTGCTTGTCAACCTGCAGCTGTTTCACGCCAAACCTTTCCCATTACGGACAAGTGTGCTGGGTTTCCAATACACGCCTCAATATTTCATGTGCATGTGGGACCAGTCGAAGATTTCAAGGTCTGTGTCCGTGCAGGTCGAGGTGGACAAACCAAATGGGCATTTTTCCAATCTAAAACGGCTGATCAGCCAATCCAAATCAAAATCGAATAGTTAACTACAATGTTGTTCACTAAGCACCAAATTGAACTGTGCTTTTTAAATAATAACTGTCATAATAGCACGAAATACTAATACAATTGAAATACAAGTAATATTACTGCAACTAATGTTGTTGTTGTATTTTCCAATTAATGGACAAGGAATTAAAATATAGCATCCAAATTATGGGCGCCACTCTCTCCGTATAGCTGACTGCTCAAGCGATTAGCTGGGAGAAATGCTTGGAAAAAAGGTACTCTGTAGCCAGCTTAAGCTGAAGCTATGAATATTCAGATTTTAATAATATTGAATTTGATTCTTATACAAGTATAATCCCAACAAATAAATTATCAAATGATGGATTCCGCTTATTAGATGATTGAAAATCGTATTGTCCTTCCAATAAATTCACAAATTCGAATTTTAGTGACAGCTGCCGTTGTAATTCATTCTTGAACAATTCCAACTCTTGGAGTAAAGGTTGATGGAACTCCAGGACGACTAATCATAGTTTTATACCAATTGTAATTGAAAGAGTACCTGTAAGGTATCTACAGTCGGATCAATTGAAATATCCATATCCTTATCAAGGAAAACAAGAAATAAAATATTTACGAACAAATTTCTGTATATTTTATAATCCTCTCGCAGCTAGTTACACTTTCTAATAATAAAAAAGAATAGCTGCAGCCTCCACCACTTCATGACTGAAAAATCTTTACCCACCGAGATATTTATTTTAGTTGGGAAAGAAAGTGTTCCAAAGGGCCTAAGTCTGGCATACTTGCATTGCATTGAAGATACGTATTGCTCTACTTGTATCTAAGAGCGAAATGTTCTCTTTGAATTGCTTTTTCTTTTGAATATAATAAATACAAAAGTATGGCACCTGCAAGCCAAAAGACTTGTGCCAAGACCTTGCTTTGAAACTGTCTCGATTCTCTTCATTGCTGTGACTGTTTCAAAGCCTGGCTATATCTATAGTGGGCATCAAAAGTCTACATACGACCTAATATTTTGCTAACTGGTAAAGATATTCACTAAAATACTCATTTTTGTGGAAGAAAACGAAAAATCACAAACCTAAGATGTATCTTTACAAAGATATAAAAGAAAAACCACATTTCTTCCTTGAAAAAAGTGTACGTATGTATTCCGACAGTGAAATACCCTGTACCCAGGTAAACTTCCGACACTGAGGTATATGCGCCTCTAGCAGAAGCAAAAAGAAGAGGAAGAGCGAACTTGATGCTTCAGCTTGTGGGCGTAGTACCGGAGTGAAATTGTTTCGCTAATAACTCTTCTTAGAATTAACCGATTTAGATGAAATTTGAAACAAAGTAAATAATTATATATAAATGATGTGTGCAAAGTTTGGTTTCGGTAGCATTTGAAATGTGCGACAGTATTGATGAAATTCTGTAAAATAAAGTAAAATAAACTCGTATAGGCTAGGGACTAGGAGCGTCTGCATACCTAGTTTGGTTTATGTACGCTCAGCCGTTTTCGAAATCCAGGCGTTCATCCAGACAGACGGACGGATGGACGGACGGACGGACGGACGGACGGACGGACGGACGGACATGCCTAGATAGATTTCTCTCGCTGATTCAGAATATATGTACATATATACTTTATGGGGTCAGAGATGCTTCCTTCTGCCTGTTACATACTTTGCACAAGCCTAATATACCCTTTTACACCCGTACAGGGTATACAAATTCGAAGATTTAAGGCGCTTGACCCCCACATAACATTTATTTTAATATAAAGCCGCTTTTAATGTGCTTAGCTCTTGAATTACTAGACATTCTTCATCATAAATGTTAAGGTTGTCTCTCATCAGCTGATGAGCCAAGAATTGCATTCGTTGCTGCGATGACCCAATTTGTTGGTCAGCGATCAATTGGCAACTGAATTGACAGCCGGCTGGCTGGCTGATGAACTTGGCCAAAACTTTGGACTGCAACTAATTTGATAACGACAGCGTCTGATTGTTGTCAACGGGCAGAGTAGCAGACTACAAGTAGTAGAGTAGTGGGGGGAGGTCTGGCATCGACGCTGACGATGACGCTGACAATGACGACGATGGTGCTACCTAATGATGTGCACACACCGCATCGATGGTGTGGGGAGAAAGGGGGAGGATTTGGGACAACGGACTGACAACTGTGTGCCCATTGTCAAGCTATCGTACTGGTAAGTGAAAGAGGTTGTTGCACCTGAGACCCAAGCAGAGCTCAAGTCGGGGGATACAATTATGCGGGCAACATGACTGTGCATGTGTGAATGCGTATCTGTGTGTGTGTGTGTGTGTGTGTGTGTGTGTGTGTGTGTGTGTGTGTGTGTGTGTGTGTGTGTGTGCTTTGAGTGTCTGCTGAAAATTAAAGTCCGCACGAGCCACACGCCGCGAACCACATCAACGACACCGCTGCCGCTGCCGCTACCGCCGGTGTTGTCGCCAGGGGCTGATGCCACCACCACCAGCAGCGGGCGCGTGGACAGCGCGCACTTTCGTTATGCTCGATTGTGCCGAAAACAAGTGGCAACTATAACAACAACAACAACAACAACAACAACTAGCGGAAGAAGAAGAATTCGAGTAGCGGCAGGCACTAAAACAAACTACAGTTGCGCTCCATGCCGTTGCCGCAGGGGCAGAGGGGAAATGGGAAAGGAGGGAAACAGGTTGCGTAATTTGATTACAATCAACTTCTAATAGAGTTCCAACCACCGAGAAGCGGGCGTAGCTGGTGGCAATCATATGGCCCACCTTAGGCCACTTGTCTCCCATACCCGGGCCGCGCGAATTTGAGCTTCGGCCTAACCGCCCAGCTGCCCTCCAGTCCTCCAGTCCTCCAGCCCGCCCGCACTACCACTTTAGAAGGCGTACGAGTGAGGGCCTCAACTTGAAGTACAATACAATTAACGACACGAATCATGATGTGCTTACCTGGCAAACGACCGTCACGTGGCCCGTTCCCAGAAGGCTTACACGTCACAATTTTAATTTTATTAAAGGAACATTTCAAATTAACCACACACTCACACATTTACAACTATGTAGCAGTCAGACACACACACACACACAGACACACACGCCCACAATTGCACAAAAAAAGAAACACACGAATGAAATAAAATAAGGCAACAATACATACTATACAAATACATATGTATGACCAACAATAATGTAAATTGTAGCTTATAGTAGTTGGTGTGGTTGTGGCTTTTCTTATTGTTGTAATCAAAATGACTGTCATAAATGCCGAGTTCAGTCAAGCTGAAAATACACCACATCCGCACACACACACACACACACACACACACACACCAACACACACACACACACACAACAACAGACACTTACATGCACACACACACATCCAATGTCAGAGCGAGGAGTCGAACAGAATTGCTTCAAAGACTTCAACTTCAACTCCCAAAAACCCTTTCTTATGCTACTTACATTTTCTGATAGTGAACGGCATTATACACATATTTATTTGATCTGACAGGTTTCTGTATTTATGCATGTACTATATATAGTATAGTGCAGTCCCAGATGCAGTTAGCATGAAAGTCGAATGACGATAATCATTACCAGCCGAATGGAAAGTTTCAAACTTTTGGTGAGGACTACATACAAGTATTGCAAGTATTCTATTGCTCGGCTCAGCAAATTCTATTAAGTGAAGGAATAACTATTAACTACTATTATGATGAGTCGGTACAAGGGCGTCCGCAAAAAGTCGAGCCGGGCCAAAAAGTTAAAATTTTGATTAAATAATGCACGATGCGTTTAAAATCAAAATTTTTTATAAATTACAAATTTTAAAAAGTTAAAAATTTAAAAACTTCCAGAAATCCAAGTCAGTTCCATGTTAAGGTGAAATAGTGCGCCATAATAATGAATGTGTGGTCGACTTTATGTTGCGAATTTTTTTTCTTTTTTCCGGCTCCCCCCTGCGTACGCCCTTGAGCCGGTATTTGCTTGGTCAGAGGCGGTCTTTTGAATGTCTTCAGCAGCGACTTTTGTTAGGGCTCGTTATTTTTATTTTTCTTGGCGCTTGAAATACACACATGTTTAATAATATTTTTTGCACTATCAAGTCGCATTATGCTAGAAAATTAAGTCAAAAGAGTCAAAGCTTCATTTAGCTGTAATGGATATATATTTATCGTTTTGATCTTAAACTTCCTCATATAATCGTATATGCATAAGAACTCTTTAAGTTGCCTAGCATAGATAACCTGGAATTGCTTATACTCGGCTTACTTGGGGTTTTTAGATTGTAATATTTTAAGGAAGTGCTTTGTTAATTGAAGCCTGCACTCAAGCACATTTATTTCTGTAAAAGCTTCTGCGCACAATCAATGCCTCACGGTCAGATTGCCAAATTATTTGCAAGCAAATGTTTCAAAATTCAAAAAAATATTTCTTGCAGTTCTAGTAATTTCTCACTCAACTTCACAAGTTTGTGTGCAAATTATTTGAACTTATTTAAAGGCTGGACTGAATAACAGTTCATTATTTCGTCACATGTTTTGACTAAATAGTCTTCTCCCTGCATTAAATATTTTAGAGCTCTTACTGTACTTATAGTGCAACATTTCAATTGAATTACGAATATCATATCGCTTTGGACTCACCTGTAACGGACGTTGCGGGGGCCCACTCATTGTATGGTGATGGTACATCACATCGTGTTTGATTTGGGAGGGCATTTGGCTATGTACATGCTGGGCTTGATGCTTCTGTATGTCGACGGCTGCCAGAGCTTCCGCTCTGCTCAGTATGCCATCGTTGATACCCGCAAAAATATCACCCTGTCGTTCCAGAGGAGGGAGAGAGAGAGAAGAGAGAGAGAGAGAGAAAGGGATAATTGAACAACAAATCCAGCAATGATAAATAATTGCAGCGACACAGCAAAAAGTACGAGTACGATTATGATTACGATTAAGATTACGATTACAGGTATACTTGTATAATAAGTTTGAGTAATAATACTTGTATAATGCATTTTTTTTATGAAGAAAAAGAAGAAGTAATGAAACGCCCACTCAATCCAATTCAATCCAATCTTCGATTTACTTTTGTCAATCGAATGATGCGATAAATTTCAGTAGACAACAAGATCTCATCTGCATATCTGTATATCTGTGTGTGTGTGTGTGTGTGTGTGTGATTGGGTGTTAAAGTTTATTTGCACATGTAGATTGGGAAAGGCATAGACAATAAGTAGGTTTGTAATATAATGTGACAAAGAGTAAATGCAATGCTAAGCAAAACGTTAATCGTATATTAATTATGCATATATAGAGTATATTAGAGTTGTTAGGAATAGAGTAGGTTAAGTCAAAGACATACTAGTTGTGGTTGTGGTTGTAGTTGCGGTTTTGCGATTGTGTTTTCGTATGGGTGTTGGTGTGGGTGTAGGTGTCGGTGTTGGTTTTTGCTATTTTCACTTACATTCTGACGTGCTGACCACGAATTGCATAATAGGGAAGCATCTTCTAATAAACGACTCTGAAAAGACGAGACAAACACGATAGTATATGTATGTATGTATTCATTAAGCATTTGTGCCGCTTGAAGCAATTTGGGGTTCGATTATGTTTGAGTATGTTAGGGTAGTGGTAGTATGTATATAGAAAGCAAGTTATTGACTGAACACAATTCCGGGCAGCACTTTGTGTAATGAGAATGCAAATGCTTCCTCTTAAGCTCAGCTTACACCAGAGTTATATTTGTGAAATAATTGTAAAAAGTTTACCACAACAGAAAGAAGATTGACTGGGAAGGAGTAGACTCTCTGGTCAACTAAAGCAGTAGTTAGAGTTTACTTTTTGAATTTAGACAACTTGATTTCTAGATTACTGCAAATTCTTCTCTTTAAGCTCAGCTTACATCAGAGTTTGGTATTTCGAAAAGCTATAAAAAGTTAACAACAAACGAAAGAAGATTGACTGAGAAGGATTGGGTTGTCTGGTCAAATAAATCACTAAATAGAGGTTTCATTTTTGATTGTGGACAACTTGATTTCTAGCTTACTGCAAATTCGTTCCTTTAAGCTGAGCTTACATCAGAGTTAGATTTTTAAAATAAATATAAAAAGTTAACCACAAAAGAAAGAAGATTGACTGAGAAGGAGTATATTGTCGCGTCAACTAAATCAGAATTGTTCCATTTAGAAGGTTTACCTTTTCAACTCATGGACAACTTGATTTGTAGCTTTCTGCAAATTCTTTCCTTTAAGCTTAGCTTACATCAGAGTTTGGTATTTCGAAAAGCTATAAAAAGTTAACCACAAAAGAAAGAAGATGGACTGAGAAGGAGTAGATTATCCCGTCAACTAAGGCAGTAATTTTAGTTGTTCCATTTAGAAGGTTTACCTTTTCAATTTAAAGACAACCTGGTTTCTAGATTACTCTGTTAAAATATTAGGGTATATACATATACAATCTGGGTTAAGCTCTATTCGATTTAATCACATTTATCATTTCATGTTTTTTGCCAATCCAATTATCTGGGCCATCATCTTAGCCATAGAGTGAATATTCCAATGGAACAGCAAATGGATTTTTAAAATCTGCACTTCACGAACTGGTGACAGAGTTTTCTTATGAAATGCAAGCGCCTTTAAAGTGTTTTGGTCGGGCAGCGGAAAAATGAGCTTAAAAACCAAAACAAAATGACACAAGTGCTCGTTTTGAGGAATTTTTCAGCAACTGCTATTGATTTTCTTTGCTGGTACCGCACTGCCCCGCCCACAGCTTAAGGCCAACAGGCACTTCTAAATAAGTAATATCAAAAGTTTTGCCGCTGCTGCTTGTCGGCGTTTTTATTATTCCAGTCTTATCGATTTTATATGTACATATATGCACATATGTATACGAGTGTGTGTGTGTATGTATAGCTCGCACGAATTTTTTAGTTAATCAATTATTTAGATGCGCACAAATTTCAAAACGTAGCACGAGGCTGAGCTCTGACGCGTTGACTTGGGCGAGAAGGATGCCGGGAACGAGGACGGGGTTGGGGCGAAGGCAGGAAGGAAGGAGGGAATGCGGGAAGGCGGGAAGGCGGCAGGGCACAGGGCAAATGGTGCTCACGTTTTTGGTAACTCATTTGGTGGCATTGGCGGCGTCGGTGGCAACGGTCTTTGCAAATGAGTCTGCCCAAGAAAGTTGGCAATAAAAGGCGTAAGACGGCCTGGGCTGGGGACTAAGTGCTGGTTAGTGGGAGCTGGGAGTTGCGAGTTGCGACCGAAATAGCCGGACAACCATTGTAGAAATCAAAATGTTGTTAATTTTTAATGTGTCTTGCCTGCCAGCCTTCCTGCTTGCCTGCCTGCCTGCCAGCCAGCCTTTTGCCGTTGCAAGTTTCCATCGCGGGCGTCACGCAAATAGCGTGACAGTTTGTTTGTCCATAGAACGGAGGGCAGACAGTTTTGGCCCAAAACTGTTCAAAGTACAATATTAACCAGAACGGGGTGTCACAACTTGTCTTGAATTATATTTGGCCAAATAAGTGTGTGTAGTATCGATGCGTTCGTAGTTATTTTTATATCTGCCACACACTCCCTCCTACTCCCCCTAATGCCATTTATGGGAAGGGGAAGTTTCCACACCAGTCTGTTTGGCAATAAGTGTCTATTATGTTTGCGTACAAAATAGAGCATACGCTATGAGAAAAGAAATCCAGATAGTTGAGAGATAGCCATTTGCATTTACCACTGAACTCAAGCAAAAATGTTCGATTTTAAATGAAAAATCTCATTTAAATCATTAATGAAATCACTATTTAAGACCTTCATTGTTCTTAAAAAATAAGTAATAGAAGGCTTTGTCTACTCTTCACATATTTTGCTAGCTACGATCAATTCTCGAGTAAGAGCTGTTTGGGTAAATACAGTGGAGCTACTTCGCTAAATGTAATTTTTTCCACTATAAATCACGTTCAATCTTTTCACATTAAATTCCTAAGCCACTTCTTTTCATTTTTGAAAAGAGTAATTTTCACGTATTTTCTTGTTGCTGTCAATATATTTACCCCCATTTGCGGGTCGATTTTTATCCACAAATGGGAAAATAAAGATAATTAATTATTTAATGCTGGCTTAAAGTTAAAACTTACAGCTAAGAGGGCTTAAGGTAGTCATAGCTACCAGGATCTTAGGCTATTCTGGCAATTAAAGAGAATTACTTTGTAGAAATATTCAAAAAACATATCTACCTAACTACTTATATACTTATATCGAAACTTTAATTGCAATATTAAGACAGACAATTAAATAAAACCACTTCATTGAAAAGCAGAGTATATTCAGCTGTTATCCTCTTTATAGTTAAGTCCTATGCAGTATATTAGAAAGATGTACTCATAAGATGAGCAGACAGGGCAACCAGTTTGGAGGAACACCCCGCAGCAGCATCGCCGTCCGTACTCGGTACTTAGTTGGTTTAAAGTAAAGTAATAAATCGTCAGTAGGGTAAGTCGCCAATCGCCTAAGTCGTCAGTAAGTCATTTTAGATAACAAAGGGACAAAGTCCTTACAGGAGTCAACAGCCAGTTGTCGAATCGGCTTGATTCTAAATTGTAATTCCGCCGTGAATATTGCCTGGGAACTTACATTCTTGCGTTACAATCCTAAAACCTCAATTAATTAAAATGGAAATAACAAACACTATTTACAAAATATGCATGCGACAAATAATGTCGCCCTCTCTCATCTGAATAAATGTACCCGTATTTATAATTTGTAATTTTTCTATTGTTTATCAGCATTAAGCTCAATGTTGGACCCATAATATAGGACACGACCTATTACCGATCCTTAGGAATGACATTTTCAGCTCATTTCAACTCATTCATATAACAACTTTTGCGGCAGTCAAAAAAACAAGAACTTGGCATCTGCCGGATTTTTATAAAGTGAAATGCGCCTAGAACTTAAACTCATTAACTCTTCTAGTGTTTTTTTTTTTTTAATTTGTAATCTTTATTTAAGGTCTGTCCTAGGTTAGTTATTAGACTTATGATAGGTAGGTAGGTGGGTTATTTAGGCCATCCTTTATATTTTCCGCAACTCGTCTAAGCTTCAGCATCGACTCTCGGAGCGATTAATAAACATAGGGCGGGACGGCATAGCGCTAAATAGCCGCATCATAACAACGAATTAATTTATGAATTAATGTGCACAGTCATTCATTCATCAAGTCGTGCCTGGCGCAGGACTACTGGCATCCTCCACCCCCACCCCCACTCCTCTCCCCATCCCTATTCTTGCTGTCGGGCAGGCCCGTCGCCCGTCGTGGACAATTCTTCATTTTGATTCTTGTTGCTTGTGTCGTTTCTCTTATTTGGGCCGAATTTTTATGTCTTGACCTGCTCGACCTGCCGCCACAGGAGAGGATGGGTTTGGTGGTGGTGGTGGTGCAGGAAAAGCGAGGGGGGGGGGGGGGGGGGGGGGGGGGAAGGGTGGCCGCAGTGCAGGCTGACACTTGCGCTCTTGGACATGCATATAAATTCTTTATTAGTGTGAAAAATTAATCAACTGAGCTGCGTTTTCCTTTTTTGTTTGGTTTGCTTTATGCCGTTGTTTTTGTTGTTGTTGTTGTTGTGCAGATTATATGTATATGTTTGTATGTCTTTCTGTGTCGACCCGTATGTGTGTGTGTGTGCATGCGTGTGTGTGTGTGTTTGCTTTTTTCTTACTCGACAACCATTTAATATTTATGATGAGTGCTGATGTTGAATTTTATCGATTTATGCAGCATTTTTTGTGCAATGAAAATTATTTAAACTAAAGCCAAAGCAAACTTAAATCTAATGTGAATACAAATTTTGAAAATTATGTCACAGTGTCCATTTAAAGTACAAATACATTTTACATCTTCATCTTGGGTTTTCAAAGCATCATTAAAGCTCTTATAACATTTTAAGACCAAGCATTCATTTGGTTGCCAAACGTTTTATATGTATTACCAAATATTCTTATCAGAGTGCTTTCTATTATGCTATTCTATAAATAACCTTATTGAATAGCATAAGTACTTTATCGAGAACTTTTTAGTACTACTGTAATACTAGACGTTGCTTTATCATCAGAAAAATCAGTGTTTCTGCTAGAACTTCATATAACAAGCTGTGCCTGTCTACACAAGAACACAACTGGGCGTATTGGGAACTATTATGATTGATTTATTGGTTTGGTGTTAAGTTGAAACATAGAAAGTTCGATAAACTATGGCAGGAGACCACCATTTCTTAATCCATAAGTCAGCCAGCTAAAACGAATCCACTGATAATTTCCAGCAGCTCTATTCGTACGAATTTCATTCAAAAGATATCTCTTTATTAATATTTTACGAGTATTTTAATTTAAGGCTCTAGGCTCGGCAAAGCAAATCAAAGACTCTGCTTAACTTTTTTTACTTGATACTTGTATGTAGACCACGGCTTATAAGCCATGGCACTATCCTAAAATGGTTATATTTAAGGCAAACTAAACAATAGAAAGGAATTGACTTTGAAAAGATTATTATTTGAGAGTGAAATTTAAAGCTTCGTCAATATGCCACCGCTTATTTGAATTCTTACTCATTCTTTCATAACACATTAACAACGATTGTTTTGCAACAACTCTAACATTTAAATTAAGATTTAAAAATAAACTTAAAGCTGATATTGTTCAACATTGCTTGCTTGATTATTAAGCATAGTTTTAGACTCTATTTAGTGCTTAAATTAATTGCATTTATTCTTCATTAGTTAATTTGATTTTTATATCAACTTGTTTTTCTTAATTTTGATTAAATGGTGTATGTATCAAGTACTAGTTTTTGTTGTACAGGTATTTTTAAAATTTTTTGGTCGTTCATGGAATATTAGGAAAATTTAATAAATACAGTCTGACGACTTTGGTCGGAATTTCCCGTTAAAAAGTATAAACTCGATTTAGAATACTAAAAATTCTCTAAATAAGCCCTAATAGTTGGAGCAATTGAATTCAAAATTTGGATCCGATAACAAATAATTGGGTTTAGGGCTTTTCAAAAAACTTGCTGGACTTGGCAATTATTTGAAAACATACTTTTCGAAAATGAATGGAACCTGGAAGAATGCTTCATGCTGGATGATTTGGTAAAACAGTGCGATCAGTTGTGAAAAGTGCTTTTAATCATCATTTATTAAGGATAGTGAGGCGATAGCTATTAAGCCAACAAATCAAACAGAACTCCAAAACATACTATTCTGAAAGAAAGCCCTACACATACTAGTATAGTATATCTCCCCAACTGGGGGATGCACAATTTGTAGCCGATTTTTCAAATGCCTATTGGTCGCATCCTTTTTGTCATTTGTCGTTTGCTTGGCTATTTGTTTTTATGTCAGTCTGCTGTGTTTTTTTGTTTTTTGTTTTTCTGGCTGTTGATTCTGCCGCCCGATGTTAATTGGCACATTTGTCGTGGCCATTTAATGCAGTTTATGAATATTTAAATCAAATTAACGACGCCGCTGTCCATTTAGCGCCTCATTCGAACAATTCATGTTGGCCCAGCTGGTCATGGTGGCCAGTGGTGCCGTCCATTGCCAGCGCTACTGCGTGACACCAAGGCCGGGTGGTTAGACGCGGTGGGGTGGGGTGGTTGGGGTGGGGTGGGGGTGTGAGCGACAAATTTCCATTTAATGGACTGCAAGGCGTTAAGTGTTTTTGTTACCAGCCAGAATCGTGAGCTCCTTGTACAACACTCAATGGCACTGTCAGTAGAATCAACCAACCCCCCTTCCCCCTTCCCACTACCCGCTTCTCAGCCATGCCACGTCCACATCCACATCTACGTCCACGGCTAATGCGCTCAGCCAAGGGTAGCATATAAATCCTATAAATCCGCCGCTTTGATCATTTGCCTTGCTTTTCGCTTCTCGGTTTTTGCTCTTTGAATCTCGTTGAGAGTCAAAGCCGAAAAGTGGCTGCTTCTCGAGCAGGCAGCGAGTTGAGGTTGGAGTTGAGGCTGAGGTTGGAGTCGGGGTTGGGGTTGGGGTTGGTGCATGGCATATAAATCCGATAAGCAAACGTAGTTGTAATCGTTCTCAGAGTCTCCTGCCGATTGCCTTTTTCTTTAAAACAGTGTCTGCCTCGTCCTTTTTATTTACAGTAAGTGTTTTTAAAGTGCCCCTCTGCAGGATTAAAACTGGATGAAGGGGGGCAGGGGGTAGTCGAATTTAGGATGGAAGAAGAAGAGCGTCTACACCTGTGCATGCAGTGCAGTCAACTTTGACTCTTAATTTGCCAATTTCCGCATCCTTTCCTCTCATCTTGTGCCCTGCTTCTTTCTCATGTTTTCATTTATTTATGCTGCATGCTTGTCTTATTTATTTATTTATTTAATAGCAACAACAACAATAACAACAAGAATATTGTTTGTATATGCGTATGTTTGGTGGTGGGGAATAACAAATTTTGATAAATAAATATTTAATGCAAATAATTTACAAGAGCACTTTTCAAGGTTATGCACATTTCCATGCTCCCGCTCCCCAACCCTCTCCATCCCTTTGCCACTTTTTATAAATCTACGCAACAATAACAATAACAGCCGCAACAAAGGCGACAATTATGGCCCAACAACAACAACAACAACAGACCAACAGCAAGAGTCGTGAAAAATTGCGACATTTATGCAATAATTAAGACAAATATTTACTCTCCGTTATTTTTAGTGCTACATTAAAAATGCGACAGGCAGTCAGAGAATTTTTTTTTTCGCCTTCCGCCTCCTCCTTTTCGCCGAAACCTTTTCCCATTTCCATTTTGCCTTTGTTGTTGTCGTTAGATATAAATAAACATGTCTGAGCTTCAACAAAATGTAATAACCATGATTTTTATATGCTCGCACGAGTATGTGCATGTACATACGTGTATGTTCATGTTCGGTTCGGGGTGTGAGGCTTATGCCAACTTGGGCCAGAAGTAGATGGGGAGCGCAAAAGGCAGTGGGAGCAAAGTATCTGAAAGTTGTTTCAGTGTGTCAAATGAAGGACCCAGGATCCAAAGCGACCGTATTTTATACAAATCCGACACATATGGTTATCAATCTTAAGCCAGACAGTTCATTTAAGTTAATAGAAAGGGCCTGACTTACTATACTTCAGCTTGGTTTAGGAAGTGCATTTTTAGGAATATATTGGCAATGACATGGGTATGATGTATTCTAGTGATGTGGAAACCGAGTGTCCTTTTTTTTAGGAGCTCGAAGAGTTTGCTAAAAATTATGCCCCTATAATGTTTCGAGTCGCACTTAAGGAGAGCTTTAGGGACTACGAATATTTTGAGATATTGTGCTTAGCATGATCTGACAATTTCCAAGGGTTTTCTACTAAGTGAATACAAAAATATTTCATTCAACGCATTTCGAGTATTTCCCTTAATCTTTAATAATGATGTGACCAACCGACTTGAAGAACATAAGTTCATTTTCCAGATACATATATTGACTACACATAGTCTGTTAGTTGGATACAAATTTTTTTGAAACCGCTTGTTATGACCGCCTGACTGACTGACCTATTGCTAATCAACGCACAGCCCAAACGGAAAGAGCTGGGAAGCGATAATTTGATCTAAACTTATCTCTTGTAGGTAAGGTGTAGGAAAGCACTAAGTAGGGAAGCTGTTTTGGAATATAATATCTCCCGGGGGGTGTAAATCGAGCACACAATATCTATATACCATATGAATATATAAGTGGGTTTTAAAAGTTTTTGGTCTGCAAAAGGCCTTGAAGTACATATTACATTTTACAAATACATAACTACTGTTGCTAAGCCCATAGCTATGCATATCCCGATGAAGATACACGGCATTCAAGACATATAGACGTGCGATGTGAGCTTTACAATATGAGAGTAATATATTTTTTTAAATATAATATTTACTATAATTTGTTTGAATGGCAAAAGTTGGGGAACAGTATAGATATAAATATAATCAGAATAGCAAAGAAACCTTCATGTTGTTCAGACAAAACTTTGTGTCAAGGGCGTTCATTAGATTAATGAATAATAATAATATAGAGCAGATTGAATATCATAATCCAATCAATTATATATATACAAGTATATATATAGGCTATGAACAAACGCGGCATTAAATACATATAGAAGTGCCATGAAAGATTTAAAATATGAATCCATGTTCAAAAGTGTAATATATTTTGATTAATTATAATCTATAAAAAAAGGCAAAAGTTGGGGAACAGTATAGATACAAACATAGCCAGAATAGCAAGGGAACTTTCATTTTATTAAGGGTGCCCATTAAACTTAATGGAAAGAAAAAAGGATATAACAGAGGACGTCTTTCTGTGGATCAGATTGAAAATCATAATCCAATACATATGCAGGCTATATATACGAATTTCCGTATAATTTCTAGCAATATACATACTATATGTCGTTATCTTTTAATATTTGAAGCATCAGTTATGTTTATGAAATAGAGTTAAAGAATTCGATATGCTCTCCACTAAAAACTGAATTGATGGACACACGGACGACGGCAAGGAGGATATACACTCAGTACAGCCGATTTTAAGCTATGTATCTTTAACAAACATGCGTCAGGAAATGCACATCGAATAAAACTATAGGCAGGTGACATTCAATGGTGCGTGTAGATGTGTATGTGTATGTGTGTGAAGGGGGTAGGGTGGAGGTGTAGGGACTAAGCAACTAAGTGTTATGCCAAGCCTAAGGGAGTATCAAGCAGCTTAAACGATCTACGGGTCCTTTGGAAATGCCGTCGCTGGAATCGGCAAGCATTGCGGCTTATCTTTACGTTTTCTCTTCAATATAACAATGATGACACAGAGAGCTTGTCATTAAGGCTATAGATGGGTGTGTGGTGTTCGATTTACTTACAGATGGATTTGGCATGCAGCGACGCATTTGCTCCGAACTTCGATACGATGGACTGTAGCGTCCTGGAAAACAACTTGGCGCTGACATTTTCATTTTATCCGTTGTCGAGTACATCGACATTGTCATGCAGCCGCCGACAAAATCCTCCTCCAGCTTGAACGCCCTTGAGGCGTCGAAAGTCGTTGGCGAGTAAATTTTGAAGCACTTACTTTGACAACTTTAACGAGAATCCTGCATGGGCAGGACAAAACACAATTGGGCGTTTTGTATATCTGTACAACTATATAATTATATATAGTTGACTGAGACTCTTTAGCTCTACTTTTTCGTTTTGGCTTTGATACGTGATTTGGCTAAAAATTTTACAATTGCTTTCTTCTTCGCTTCACTGTAGAATTTGCTTTTCTTTCTTTACATATACTTTTGTAAATATGTATATGTATATCTCTTTAAATATATGTATATGTATGTATATACATATACATATATGTACAATTAATGCTTTGTATGATATTATTGCACTTTTGAGTTGTTTGCGCGCAACAGAACTGCGAAAAAAAACCACAAGAAAAAAAATAATGAATGACGGATGAGGAGCGAGGAGCAAGGAGCTTGGCCGGAAGCCAAAGTTCGCGGGTCGCGCGACGCGTTCAGCAGCCGCTAGAGCCGTCGGTCACCATTGCATCAAATTTGCAGCTTTGATGGCATTTTCCGTTAATTATTTTAGCTTGCTTTCTCTCGTTTTCGTTATCTCCCTCTTCTTCTTCTTCTTCTTCAACTACTTTTTCTTGTTATCCTTTTTGATGCAAATGGAGTGCGGAAGCGGCGAAAAAGAAATGTAAACACGCGGGCGCGCTAATTAATTATAAATTGGCACGTTTTTGGCCTTTGAAACGATGGCGCGTAATTGGAACTCCGCACGACAACACGCTCGCCTCATCTGAAGCGCCGGATGGGTCTGAAGCGACGGGATATGAGACGTTTCCGTTTACCATTCACCGTTCACCGTTTGCGTTTGCCGTTGGCTAACCGTTTACCGTTATTCGTTTTGCGTTCGTTTGTTGTTTGTTGTTTGCTGTCTGCTGATTTACCGTTGCGTTCAACTTTGCCCAAAGCTTAGCTCAGCGGGCCAAGCTCAAGCTCCAGCCTAAGCCCAAGCCTCAAGCTGAGCTTTTATGCGAACGTGCGTGTGTGTGTGTGTGTTGAGCTTGTCCTGTGTGTGTGTAGGTGTCTGTGTGTGTGACTGTGCGTGGCAATTTGTTTAACTCGAGTTTGCTTGTGTTTTGCTATCGTGGCAATTGTTGTTGTTGTTGTTGTTATTGTTGATGTTGCTGTTGCTGTTGTTGTGTGTGCCGTGTGCCCGTTTTCAACTATTGTCGAGAAACTAAACGCAACCGAACAGATTTCACAACTAGACAAGCGCGCGTGGTGTTGTGATAAAGAATTCTATGATGAGTTTCGCTAACTTCAGAGTTTATTTTCAATGGGGAGGACAAGTTTTCATTATTTATCAGCGTGGGCGTGTCCAGGCGCTTGCCGGCGTAGCCACCCCTACAAAATGGCAGCACGTCCCTTTATATAAGATGCCGTCGCTCGCTCTGATTGGCCGTTCGCCTCTGCCGCTGCCTTGCTGGCGCAGCGCCGGCGACGTCGGCATCGGCAGCGACTCCTTTCGTTAAGCTGGAATTGGGCAGTGCATACGTACTGTGTGTGTATTGACTGGACGAAATCATGTGTTTGTGTGTGTGAGCTGCGCATGCGCCAACCTTCCGAAGAGCTGCTGCTGCTGCTGCCTCAAGCATTGCTGTATGTCGGTGTGTGTGTGTGTGGGTGGGTGGGTCGGTGTGTGAGCATCGCAATGCCAATGCCGTCGCATCGTCGTTGTCGTTGTCGTTGTCGTCGTCATCAGTGCTGGCGGCTCATGCTGCACTGGGCCCAGCATATGGCACAATTTTTTGGCAACGACAGCACCACCAACAACAACAACAGCAGCAACAACAACAACAAGAACAGCAACAGCACCAAACACGACGAAAACAATCTGAACAAAAGGCACAAAACGGCGACACGACAAACAAAGCAGGCGACCAAAGAGGGGACAGCGGCCGTTTGTCGACGAAACACTCGGACATGTGACCGGCCATGTGGGCATGTGTTACCCATTGGTAGGGAGTTGGACAACTGCCTGCCCACCTGCCTGCCTGATGGCTGGGCCCCTTCGACGCCTTGACTAGTTGCGTATTAAAAGCATGCAAAGCATGGCAAACACATACAGGGTGTCTGTAGTTTTTGTGTGCCACGCAAAGGGTGTTCTTCGAACTGAGATCAAAGGTGAGATCTTGGAATTCCCAATATATTCCCAGAAAATAAACTCGGTTCCGTAGTCCATACGCATGGATAGACGGACATACATACATATCTATCTCACCATAAATGCAATAAATTAATTGTCAAGTTTATTTAACCAATTTAATGACTGTCCATGATGGACAGTTTTAAATAAAAATACTCTGCTATTACAAAAAAACCCATACATATCAAAATCGATATGATGACACATGATGATGCAGATTAAGTATATATTGTATGTATGTATAATTTAAGCTGAATAGCAACACCATTTTAATCCTTCAAATACAGGGCATACAATAGTACAACTAAAACGTAGGCGTTCGTCACTGTTATTTATTGATTTATTATTGATTTTAAATGATTTTTTTTTTTTTTTGGTAGTTTGTAAGTACTTATTTTTAAATGCAGGACTATGTAGCATAAAGAAGAAATATGATTTGAATTATGTATAGGAGCTCTAATATATCAATTAGATGATCCACCAAAAAGAATTTTTAATTTTTTAATTAAAGTCGTTATTGCACCATTTCCATAGAACAACATCAAGAATGTTGTACGTAAACCAAAGACTTTCAAAATTCTCACACCAAACAAAAATGTTGTTTTTTCAATCTCAAAAAATCTTGACTTCAAACTATTTTTAATCCAGTTGCGACTTGATAGATAAGATATCTACGATACAATAAACTGTTTTATTATATTTTTAAATATACATATATTTTATAATATTTTGCTTTATGCTTGATATTATTATTGATTTTCAGTGATCAATACAATAAAATTCAACAAATTTGACTCATTTTCATAATTTGAGAGAGTCCACAATTAATGTTAACAATCTACTGCAGTAATCCACTTGGGAATTATGGTCCAAAATAATGAAAAGTTTTAACTGAATAATTGTAGTTTTACATAAAAAAAAACATTAAACATAGTTTTATTATATATTATAGGCTGTACTGGAAGGGTGAAAGAATATAATAGAAACGCCAAATTAATGTAAAATGCAGACCACATTTTATGTACATATACTCGTATGATCAGTATGACGAGACAAGTCGTTATAAATATGTTCGTCTGTCCGTTAAAGATATCTTAAGGATTTCTATAGATCATCACAATAACTGTTTACAGGAGTAAATTTGTATGAAATTTAGACTAATATAGCAAGCATCGCAATTACGAATATGATCGTCTCTTCAGTTGAATAAACTGATTTGGTATATATAATAGCCTCCATTATCACTGCAAGGAAAATCTCAATAAAATTAGGGAATATCAGATCCACCGATTAATTCACTGAAATCCACAACATGGATTTTCGTCTTATGCATGAAAAGTACAACATTAATTATAAGGATTGTAGAAATTATGTTTCAGATTTATAAATTTACCCAAAAAACAGCCATAGGTTAGGTATAGTCGTGTTTTCCCACAAAAGGCTCACTGTGGCCCGCTCTTAACCACCCGGTGGTGCTTATAAACAAGTATATAAAAAGAAAAAATGTATGTATATCACTTAAAATCAAAAAGTTTCAGTTCCTTTGAACGCATCCGCCTTGGAAAATATTCAAAAAGAAGTAGCTGCCATAGCAATTACCGATCTGAAACACTTATTTTCTTCCTACTTCAACATTTTTTTTGACAAGTTGTATAGTTATAGATCCATGTACTACATATATATAGTTAAAATTACTCGAGACCATTCAAATGTCGTGTCTGGTTGATAAAACAAGACCTAGCTGCTTTACAAAACAATTTTTAACAGCTTGAGAATTTGCACGGTCCTGATATTTCTAAATTTTTATATGTATGTATAGGTCTATAATTTCGTATGGAGACATTCTGATTACGAAGCGCATTTAAAATTAATAACAAATATGGAAAGTGTTTTATTTGTATTCAATAAAATCGAATCGAGTTTGAACTGATTGCAGTTTGTATTTCGATTAATTAAAAGTGCCCGAATTTCGTAGGCATGTTGGATATGCTTTCGACAAAGATATAAAAAAAGTAAAAGAAAAATGTTCAGCATTATAAAAGGATAGAAGGAATTTACTGACTGCCTGCAATCGGTATTGGTGGCGCCATCTATGCATGGACAAAAAAGTACGTTATAGAGTTTGCATCGAACAACACAAATCAAATATAATTATATTTTGGAAAAAATTCGAAGGCAATGGTTTTTCGAAAAGGTATAGAAGAGAAAATAAAGTGGCACTGTATGTTTAAATGTGAATTTAGAATGGTTAGTCGTATTCGAAATGTTTATAAAAATGGGTCTCCAGCACCGCCAAAGCATTAGTTACGAAAAGCTCCGCAACAAGCATAGGCAGGTGAGCTTTTGAAAAGCCCAAAAGCTGTATTATGCATGGCAAGTGCTTTTAAGTTCGGCAATCTTTTAAGAGCTTTAAGCACAGGACTCAGCATTGGTGCAACCGTTAGAGTCAAAATCAGACGCTGACAGACAAGAGTAAAGGAAGAAAAAAAGGACACAACAACTTTAAGTGTTCGGTTTGCATTTATTTTTTGTACAATTATCTAATAGGTTTATTTTCATTTCAATTAATATTAGTTATTGCAGAATCGTGTATAAAACTTTTTACAAGGATAGTCCAATATTGGAGCTCAAGAAATACGGAAAGAAACAGAGATATATAGAGAGAAAGAGTGACAGAGATAGATAGAGAGAGAGAGAGAGAGGGAGAGCGAGAGAGCTAGAGAGATGGATGGGGAGAGGAAGGGAGGCAGAGACTGAGACTAATTCGCGTATGTGCGTATGATTTTGGTTTTCTTTTGTTTTGGGTTCATGGATTTAAGCGATGAAGCACAACATGGCGTATAATGAATTTTATAAATTCGTTGAGGAATCATAAATCTTGTTCTTTCGCCCCCGTAAGACGTTGACCTATAGCTATAACTTAACAGTTACATGTACAAAACGATTAACTAATATCCAATGTGTGAACCAATATAGGAAATGCGAAAGCAGCAAACAATTCGAAGTCAAAGAATGGAGGTAGACGTAGGATGTGATTCCTGATGTGGGTCTGGGTCCGGGTCCGGTTGAGGGTCTCCTTCGTAGTGGGCAACATTGCCCCACACACATACACAAACACACACACGCACGCACACACACAAGTCTTATGTGTGGCCTTACGATGTGTATTCTATACCTAGTTATGTAGCTATAAATATTTGTTCATCTTTTGGTGTTGCATTCAGATTCCGTTCCATTGAGATCTATGGTCCTATTGTAATCATCTATATATTTATCCTTATATATATATATATATATGAGTGTGGCATATGGTGGGGGAAGGACTGTGGGTGTTCGGGTGTTTGTGCAGCTATTTGTGCGGCATATATTGCTTGAGTGAGTGGCGGGCAGGGCTTTTTGTAGGTGGTATGTGTTTGTTTTTTGCTTTGCTTTGCTCGTTGCACACAAGATTCGTCGTCGTCCTCGTCGTCCTCGTCGTCGTCATCATCCTCATCATCATCATTGTTCTAATCTCTTAAAGCCTAAGTTGCTATTCCTGCCGGCCGAGCAAGCCGTACACCAGACGTCGTCGCGCCTGCAATTCCGCTCGCATGGCCGGCGTATAGGGATCGAAGGAGAGCAGTCGCTTCTTGCGCCGGAAAATGCCCTCCTTGCGGACAATGGCGCACCTCATGAGCTGCTCGTTGACGGGAAACTCCAGGAACTCGAGTATGCTGCGCAGCTCACGCTCCGTGTTGTGCACCAAATCATCGTAGAACACAACCTTAATGCTGCCGGTAAAGTTGCGGGCCCAGCTGAGATTCATGAGCTCCCAGCCCTTTAGCTTATTGCTAACAAACTGTTGCCAATCTGTAAAATGCATTCAATTTTAAATGGATCTGGGTATCCGAAGCCCAATTAGCAAATACTTACACTTGCCCTTGGTCCGCTTGTAGCGATCGGGGGAGGCAAAGCCAATGTGACCGCCACTCTGTCGATTAAATTCGGCTATGATGGCCTTTTCGGGATCGCGCACCAGAAGTATTGCTTTGGAAAACGGCGCCCACGCCTTGGCGCCCCACTCGTGCGTCTTAACCAGTAATACTGAGCTATTGCACACGTTCTCTGCCGGGAAGCCCGTCTTCAGCAACCCATAGTCTTTGTAAATGCTGCCCGTCAATATACCCGTCGACTGCTGCAGTAAGTATCGTAGCCAGGTGTTACCACTGCCTGGAAAACTGGCCAGGGCCGTCAGCATGGGCATGGGCATGGCGAGCATCTGGCCGGCGCTTATGTCGCTGGGCAGAGCAGCTGAAAGAAGTAGGTAGCCAACAACTATTAGCCAATGAATCAATGAATTATAATGTTTATACCTAAAGCCTGCATGATTTCCCCCTCTTATACATACAAGTATACTATTTTTGGCCAGATTATCTAATTAATGAGACTGAGGGGAGTATCCCTTTCTTAATAACTCAACTCCTCAACCCATTTCTTATGATAGTTTTGGCACATTTTTCTATAAGAATCAAGTCTGTTGCGTCTGTTTGCCAATTTGTCTGCAGCAGACAATTGCCAAGTGTGAACACCAGTCTGTGCATAGTAAACGACCAGACGAAGATATGTAGTCAGCAGCAAGTTGATTTAAAAATAAGTCTGCTACTGACCGTGGGAGCTCAACACCAATTGTCGATTTTGTGAACATCCATTTCCAGGTCTGCTAAAAAAAAACCTGTTCTTGACAGATGCTTCGGATATAGAGTCGACAAAACATCTATAACTGTTGCTGGCATGTACGCATACTTACATATATCTAAGCATATCTAGACTAGACCCTTGTTGAATAATTATCGTGAGCTGCAACTAAACTGATGCTGAAGCTTAGTCCTTGCTGGCACAACACTTTTTAAAAACAAAGTATTTTTCCGCATATATGTAGGTTTTTTGTACTTACTGTCAAAATCGCCGGCCTTGTAGTCTGGATAGTTTGGAAGCTCATGGTTAAGGTATTTCAGCTCGCGACACCATCGGATGGTCATCTTGCGGCTGGGCATGGGAAAACGTGGACTATGAAAGCTGGAAAACTGCAGGTGAAAATGTAAATTTACACATGTACTTAAGAGTGACGAACTGGAATTTTGACCAGATATTTATGTCTTGAGATATGTTAAGTAGATAGGCTTACCTCTGCAAATCGTTCGATGCGCACGCGCTTCGGATGCGAGCCGGGTATATTGTTCATGGACAGAAACAACACGCCGCCAATATAGATGATGATTGTTGCCGAGACACCGAAAAAGCGCCAGCCATGCAGTGCCATAACGCCGCTTTTGCATTACTGAAATGACGCCCAAACCGCATGCGAATGAGTGTCTATATATTGCCACAATGTTCCCGCCCGTCTGTTTGTCCGTCTGTTAGTCTGTTGGTCTGCTGGTATGTATGCAATATGTTTGCGTAGTGCTCTTGATGTATGGCAGACGCTTAGTTGTAATGCCGAAATGCGCCGCTAATGAAGCTAATTAGTTTGTGGAGCGTTTTCTGCCATTGCAGTCGAAAGGCCGCTAAAAAGTCCAAAAATAAAATATGTTCGTCGGCCTACGGCGGGTTTCAATTTGTTGATTTTGTTATGACAACGAAACAAAGCCAGCCGCAAGGACTAAGTCCCACAAAAACTGATACACCCACAGCCACAGCCACAGTTATAGCCACAGCCACAGCCATAACCATAGCCACGACTTGGCTGGTAGTGGTAGCCTGGGCAACGCGAATGGGCTTTGCGATGGCATTGCGATGGCGAAAGGAGCAGGATGGGCGCGATGTCAGGCCTTTGACGGTTAGCGGAATTCCTTAAGCTACATAAAATACAAGCACACGAAGCCCACGCGCACACATACACATTCAAAGGGAGAAGAGCACACTTAGGAACACACACAGACACACACACACACACACAAACATACTTGTATATATGTATGTGGATAGCTAGACACACATGCCAGCTAAATGCGAAAATTTATGCAACAGCTGGGTGAAATGTGCGAGATGAGTTAGAAATATTCAGAGATGTGGCTTAACTGCTTATGCAATCCTCGGCATATAGCACATCTGGGCAGTATTGGATAAATAACCGACGTCCAAACACTGGCCTTCCCCTAAAACAATGGCCATATCTAACATTGATTGATTGAATGATTCTGTTTTTACACGATTCTGATATAACATGGTTTGGAAATTAAAAATAAAAATATATTTCTTTTTTACACGGTTGTTTCTGGAACCAATCTACCGTGTAAAAACAGAATCGGGTGTATTGGGTTTCAAAAGAGGTGAGCAGAACACTAGTCCAATACAAAACTTTTTAACCGGAACAATATGGGTGTTAAATAAACCCGCGATGTTGGAAATAGATTAGGGACAAGAAGCTAAAATTTGAGAGTAATTCTTTTTTCCTTTAAGAAGTCGAGCGTTTCTCCTTGCGAAACAAAATGTTCTAGTCTTCGCGATCGAAGCCTCTAGTTAGACAAACAGACATTTATCGATGCTAACGGTCTAAGTCGTAGGGAAACTTTTTTGTTTAGTCTGTGAATGTCCTTCTAAGCCATGATGAGCAGGATTGTAAAATCAATGCACAAACTGCTTAATCCACCCACCACTATCATAAAAACCAAAACTAGTCCATGCTAAAAGAAGACGAAAAAGAATCCAACTATACAAGTACGACTATACACGAGTATAATGAAATGGCAACACAAGAACACAAAACAAAAACAAAAAGAGAAATGTGGATGCCATGCAATAATTTGATTGTTTTGCGGCATAAATCAGACAAAAGCCACGCACATTATCAGGTGAATAGACAGATGGTTGGATGGGTGGATACGCCCAGGCGGGCTTTACACGGGCACAGATTTGTGTGAGCATAGCAGACAGGCAGACAGACAGACAGACAGATAGACAGACAGGCAGACAAGTGCCAGGTCATGGTGCACACATTTTACATAATAATTAAGCGCATGCTGAGGTCTGAATGGAGGAGGCATAGCGTGGATAGATGATTGTGGCAGGGGGGGAGGGGTGGTTGGATTGACTTTTGCATCTGCATTATAAACATGAATATTTATGGCCCCCCCTTTTCTAATAGCTGGCGAGAAAAGCTAAACAAACAAATGGGCGAGTAGTGCTGATTCGCATTATTTAAAGTTCAAACGAAAAATCAAATAAGCAACAAAAAGCAGCTACTCGTACAACCATCCCTACCCCTCCACCCCACCACCCAACCACCACAACACCACACCACGCAGCGCTTGCGGAACGAACAACCACTGCAGCCAACATTTTCAACACATTACAAAGCTTTTAACACACTCCCACACACACACACACACACACACTGGCACGGACATGGGCAGCGCGTTGGGCAAATGTAAACAAATAATTTTGTGTTGTGATTGAAATTTCTCATTGGCTGTACCTTTGGGCCCCCAGCCGCCCCCCGGCTGGTATTGTGACTTACCGATTCCGCGCTTCTCTGCTATTTCGTTGCGTTGTACCAAGAAATAGAAAACCCAAAAAAAAGAAACTCCCGCTCTACATGCCTCGCACGCACTCACAACTACGTTGGATGGCCCCACAGACGAACTTCACACATTTTGCACTAAACAAAAACAACAATTTTTATATCCCAGATATCACGAAAAACACACACACACGCATTCACACACAGAGATACAAAACTAAATCTCGTGCCGTCGTTTAACAGCCGTGTGTGGCGTTCGCGTATACTCTGCGTCTCAATCGTTGCAGAATTTCTGGCAGCCTCTCGGCTGCCGTTAACTTGGGGTGGAAAGCTCTGCCCCTTTGGACGGCAGCGTTGCCGGACCATTGACGTCGTCAGGCTGCACCCCGGCGCTGCCAAGGCAACCGCCAGCTGGGCGGCAGCTTTGCGCAGGTCGTCTATCTATCAGCTGTTTGCCACCATCCCCAAAGTGCTTGCACAGCGGTCATTTCGCTCCGTTCTGCGCCTGTGTCAAGCACAGCGAAAGCTTTTCAAGCTCGCATAGATGGCGCTTTAATGCTGTGGAAATCACAGGTCCCAACACTATCCCTTTTAAGTTGACACAACATTTTGCAACGATGAATGAATGAAAGTCAATCTGAATTCAACTGAAGCACTGCTTTGTCGGTTCTCTTCACTGCCGACAACTGCTATTGACGTCCCGCTTGCACCAATTAACAGTTTATTGCGTGCCTGTTTTAAAGTTCAAACTATGCCTTTAAGTTGTGTTTTTAGTGCAACATATTTGAGAAAATTCAATTTTTTAAACATTTTTCAGCTAAATATATCTTATATTATTATATATATGATTAATACACAATCCATTGGAAAGTCGCATAGCTCGCAATCAAAACGACGCGTCGTTTCAAACTACACCTAATTCTGTTTTTACACGGTAGATTGGTTTCAGAAACAACCGTCTAAAAAAGACACGATCAATGATCTATATGCAAAAATAGGTTCCTTATCTCTAAAGAAATATATATGAAATTTTTAATTTTCACACCGTGTTATATCAAAATCGTGTAAAAAATCGCGTAAAAACAGAATTAGGTGTATTAGGCTCTGTGCGTTACTGGGAAAAGGTTAGGTTAGACTTGGTAGTCCTTCACAGATCGAGTTGGCTCTTAGTGTCGCCAGGTAATTAGAGGTTAAATAGTCCATTATCAGTGTTGGACAGTGGCAACGTTTCCTCCACTTCCGGTGCCTTGCGTTTTCTTCTGTCATGAGCCAGCTTCTTGGCATAGGCAGTGATCTGTGGGTAGGCCTGTTATCAGTTTGCATTCCTTTCTCTGCAGTTGCTGGAAGAAAACATACATACATACATACATATGTATATGTATTTTCTATAATTTCAACAATGCCGACTAGCGGAAAAAAAACAATACTAATTTTCATTCATTTCGTCTCCGTTTTTTTTAATTTAAATACTTTTCGTTTTATTTCACCTTGGTTGCATTTTTGTTTATTATTTAATTTTCTTTGCATCATTTGCTGTCGTTATATTTAGTTATATACGTGTATGTATATAAGTAGTAAGTGTATTATGAGTTGTTCATTTTTCATATCATTTCTTTGGTTTTTAGCAACATCATACCTTGTGGTGAGTAAAAGTTGATATGATGTATTTAGATTTGGCACACTAGTAAAAATTAACTTGCAATTGCTCACCAACAGCTGCTCGCTCGTAAGTTAGGCATTGTAAGTTAATGTTTTTGTTTTCGTTTTCGTTTATTCCGTTTGTTTGCTGATCTTTAACATGTGCTAATTCCAGTTTGTTCATACATTTCTGCTTACTATAATTTGCTAACAATTCGTTGGCATCTGTCAATATTGCAAAATTATTTTAGTACAAAATAAGTGGGATAGCCAAAAAAAAAGAAAGAAAATTAAGGAAGAAAGGGTTTTCACTTGACTCGTGGGACTCTTTACGCGCTATCTTAAACTAATGTACGTACAAAAATATCGATAAACTAAAATCGAGCAATTTAAACAACAGCAGTGACAACAACTTGTAGTAATCGATACATATAGTATGTGTCTGTATGTGTACGTGGAGTATTCTAATACATTTATGTATAGGGTAGAGGATGGGCTAAAATCATTAAAATATTCCATAATTGACTCACACTTTGCGACTTGGAGTATCTACGAGAGAACTAAAATCTAGGAGGGCACTTCGAAGTACCATTGACGAGTCTGCAGCCTACAAAATTGAACAGTCGACATGGAAATTGCAGAAAAATCCTCTCTCCTCACGTTTACCACTGGGTGTGACTGAAGATCTTTGCAACTAGACTCGGAAGATCGGCGCATATTGCTTATCTAATGCTCTCCCAATGCTGATAATGCACACAGTTTCTACTTGCCAAGCTGAATCTGTCCATGCATTGTAATTTTCATTCCACGTTGGCAATGAGATCGGGGCTGCCCCCCCTTTTCGGTTTGTTTTCTTTATAAAATAATAAATAATTAAAATACCTATTTATAGTATTTGTATCGTATTATTATCTTATATTCAAATATTATAGGTATGCCTGCTTCGCGCGTCCCGCCTTTTGTGTTATATTCGCTAGATTTCATTTTTGTTTTGTTTCAACTTTTCACGCTTATAAAAAAGAAAAAAAAATTGTGGTCCCTGGCGTATGTAATTCAATAATCAAATGTTGTTGTTGTTCTTTTTTGTTTTTCCTTTCTCTGCTTTCCTTGCAATGCCTTAACCCCCACCCCCCTGCCGAAAAACAAAAATGTCTCTTAACTATACACGATACGAGTAGAATAAATATTTAAGTTTGTTTCGCTTCTTAAGTTGCTGTTGTTGTAGTTCTGCTTGTTGTTGTTTTTGTTGTGCTTTTCATGGTGTTTTGGTTTGCTTATTTAGACTTAGTTGGACTGCTTGCCTTGACTGGCGGTGACCCTTTGAACCCATTTAACCCATTGAACCCATTGAATTTGTTCCGTAAATTTCGTATTTGTGCTTTTGTACAATGCAAAGAAACGGTAGTTGGTTTAGTTGTTAGTATAGTTATAGTTTAGTACATCTCCTCACATCAAAGAGTGTGCTCCAGAGGTACATACATACATACATACATACATACATACATACATACATACATACATATGTATGTATGTCATCTCTGGTAGTGCTAGGTAACTACTTGGCTTAGTGTTCGGATAGTGTTTGGGTATTTTGTTATTATTTGTACGAGTACGAGTACGATTAGTTAGTTATGTAAGCATAGAAAACTATTGCTACGAAACACTAGAGTGGGCGTGTCTGTGGGCTTGGCCATTGGTTTGTTTGTTTGACATCTGCTACTGTCTACTTATAAAAAGTTATCATAGTACGAATATTTAGGCGTCTTCTGGCTCTATGCGTGTGTCGAGGTGCGGCGTCTTAACAGTGTGGGTATTTGTGTGTGTGTGTGTGTGTTTCTTAGCTAAAGCATTTTTTCTTGAAGTTAGACCAACGAGTTCGTAAAATTTTTACATTCAAAACAGTTAAATAATCAATTAATCAATAACAACAATTTGTTTGTCTGTGTTTGTTCAGAGATACATTTAAGTAGCTTTCAGCTTATATTTTTAAGGAGAGATTTTTTGGTTTCTTTTTTGGTATTTCTTTTGTTTTTCGTTTTTGCTTTCATAATTCGCTTGCATTTGCTTATTGGGAAAACTGCACTAAACTACTTAAACGATAGGATGCTGAAGAGCCTAAACAGCTCCCCAATTCATATTCGAGCCTTGCCAAACCAAAGGATGAAATCCAGGAATATTGATGACATACAACTAAACAAAGCCTGAAGCTTAAGATGAATGAATAATATTAAAATGTCACTTTTCAGTTAACATTGTGTTGAAAGAAAAAGAAAGAAAAAAGGATTTCAGAAATAAAGCGCCACTCTCGATAGTTATTCGTGTGAGAGAGCGAGACGAAAACAGTGCGATTACAACAATGCTGCTTTTACTATGCACTGCTTGCTCTGTTCTCACTTGGAAGCCGATCAGAACTGCACTGCTTGTTATGGTGCACTGATTCGCCTTCGCTTCGCTGTGTCGCTTGTTCGAGCAATAAACTAATTAAATTATTGAATGTAAATAATAGACACAATAGTAACAAAGATCAGTATGTTGGCATTGGAATTGTGGCTGCTTCTACAAGTAGAGACTAACTGCTCTTAGGTACGCTAAAGCTTCGATAGACCTAATTAGTGGAACCGAAGGTGTTAACAAGAAAACGGCTAAATGTACAATAGATGCTACATATATGGTGTATGTTTGTAAGTATCATTAGATTTCGTTTTTGGTTTTCCTTAGTAATTTTTTTTGCATTTTTTTTCATTTTGTATTTAATGTGCTTTTTGTTTTATTTAACATCTTCACTTGTTTCGCTCTGTTTGGTTTGGTTTTAGGTTCGGCTTGATTAGTATTTAAAACAATTCTTATTTTAGAGTTCTATATAAGTTATTAAAGCTTTCTGTTTTCATTACTCTAGTTCATACATATCTATGTTTGTGTGTATACATATATTTATATATACGTACTTAAAATATATATTTATATATATATATTCCATAGTCTCTAACAATAAGAGGTATATACATTTTATAGAGAGCATATCCACAATTTTCCAAAAAAAAAAAACAAAAAAAAAAAAAAACAATCAAAAACCTGTCCAAAATTCGAGATGGCAAAGAAACTGAGCCGTTGGATCATTGAGGCGGGCGCTGAGAGGTGAGAGCTGAGGGCTTTGCGCTGGGTCCGGGGCAGTGAGAACTGGGCGACTTCTTATATGATCTATAAGTATACTTAAGACAACAACAACAAACATGCTCCAAGGGCATGGACGCTACTTGTATGTAGGACGGTTTAATGTGGGAACTCTTGACCTTTGACATTATCTGCTCACCAACTCACATGCACACACAGAGAATTCGAATTCGACATCGCATCATATAAAGCTACATTGAAGGCGGCAATGGGCGTGGCCAGTGTGTATATATCTCATACTATATTCGAGTTCTGTATACTGGAAAAAACATTAACGAAATCGGCAATTGGAACAATTGGGAACAGGCTGAACGCAACGTCACACTGGCGCCCATTGAAGAGGACTGTACGGAGGGTGGAGTTAACGGCTGAATTATGTTACTGAAGCTGATCGAACTGGAATAATGGTGGAAAACTCTCTGGCTATTCGGTTATCTGTGTGTGTGTGTGTATGTATGTATGTTTTGTTTTCGTTTTTGTTTCTTCTTCTTTAAAACTACAATATGCAACATAAGTTTTGCTTTCCTTATATCGTTTTTCTTTCATTTTTGTTTTGGTTTTTGTTATTTTATCATTCGTTTTGGTTTTTTCTTGACTTGGGGAATGTAGGGTTAAACATATATAGAATATATACATATGTATATATGTGTTTCATTTGTTTTGCTTCTCTAGGTTGTATGTATATCGACGTAGTATGTATTGTATATAGTATAATATAGTAGTTGTACCTTTTGTTATACTGTTCGAATTGCTTTAATTATTGTTTGTCCATTGCGTGCTCGTGGAGAGTTCCGTTGTGTGAAGATTTGTTGTTGTTGTTGTGTGTGGTTTTTGTTGTATTTGCTGCATCTTCTCTACCGATTATAGTTCTCAAAGCTTGTCTTTATCACGATCGATGCTCATTGCTTTAAAGATGCCACGACCGATGCCGTAGCGCAGGTTGAACTGATCCAGACTAGAGGCCCTGGGTCGCGAGCTGCCCGAAGGCCCCGTCGGGGCAACGCTGGTGGTTGGGGCCGCACCATTGCCCGCCAAGGCACCGGCGCTGCCGCTGCTGCCACTACCACTGGCGGCGGCCAAGGCCATGTGCTCGTCCATGTCCGTTTCGCTGTACTCGGTCTCGGTGTCGCTGAACTTTCGCCGCCGTCGCAAGAAGGTGCTGCAGTGCCTAAGCTCGCCAAGATTGTCGGAGAGCGAGTGACCCCGTTTGCGCTCCTGCCGTTCCATCTCTGCCGCCAGCATTTGAACCTCCCAGTCGTTGTGGCTCATGCTGCCACTGGTGGCACCACTGCCGCCCAATGCTTCGGCGCTCACCTCATCCTCCGCCTCGGCCGCCTCATCCAACTCGTCCTCCTCATCGTCGTCGTCCTCCTCGGCAATGTTCAGCTTGCTGGACGAGGAGCTCGAGCTGGAGCTCTCCCCAATGTCGAGTATTACGCTGTCCGACAAACGTGTCAGGTTGCCCGTCACATCTGAGACGACGACGGCACTGGCACCTGCAGAAGTGCCGCCAAAGCTGCTGCTGTGCGCGCGCTCATCGCCACACCAGTCCCGGTAGCCACCTCTACTGGTACTGCGCCCATTGCCGTGAGCCGTGTAGAAGCTGGGGTGGCTCTGGGCATGTCGCGTTAGCGTTCCGGGACCGTAGTAGCTGCTGGGGCAGTTCAGCGAGTTCGCTGAGGACGCATAATGGCGACTCGGACCGGGCGATATGCTGCGCCGACCACCCTGAATGGGGGGAGATGAAGTGAACACCGTGTCCAGCGAATCGCCGCGCTAATCAAACAGGCAGCGAGAAAGAGAGAGAGTGATAGAGATAAAGATAGAGCTGAGTCCCCGCTCACACTCACCATAAACAGCAGTTCAGCGGAGGAGCCGGAGCTGCTGTTGTCCTGCTCGGCCGGCTCGTCGTCGTCCACCGAAAGTTGTGGCAGCTTCTCGCGCTTCGCTCGTCGTGAGGGGGTGCCGGAGGGTTTCTGCTCGATGCTGCGCAGCTTCAACTGCAACTGTGCTATGATTGCATCCCGACGTCGCACCTCCCCGGCCATGGACGAGAACTGTGTCTCAAACTTGGAGTGCATCTCGTTCATGTGCGTCTTTATCACCTGATTGATGCCGCTCAGTATTTGATTGAAGTAGTCCTGGGCCTCGGGAAAGCCTTTAAACGGGAAGAAGGGATTGCGAGCTGCGATTAGTGACTTTGCATGGACTTGGTCTCATTTTGTACAGGTACAGTTGTGTCTGACGGCCACTAGCCGGCCGTCTTCGGTGCGTGAGTTGCAAAAAGTTGCGAGTTATATGTTGGAGACAACTACAACAAGTTGCTGGCTGTGAGACAAAGCGTTTGCACTACTTTGCTTTCGTGTGCGTTGTTTTTACTGTTTTCGTATCGCTACAAACCGAAATATAAACCGAAAATACATACGCAGTTACATATTTACATACGTTACAAGCATTCCATACATACAGTCGTTGTTTCGGCTCCGGGCAAGTCAAATGCCAAACGATGGCCAACATCTTTTGGTTTTGCACCACCTTATGGTTGTCGTGTGTGGTTTGGTTTGGTTTAAATATTTACAGTGTATACGTAACAGATGTTGGCGTGGCATAAATCAGCTGTGCATTTGTCGTTGCATGCTCTCGACAACGGTACTCATTGTTTCATTTCACTGTGTTCCAAAGCGTGCGACTGTACTTGCATTATTGCACTATCTGGCAAGTGCGCCGTGTGCTGTGTACTTAATCTAAATTTCGATTTATATTTACATCTACTGGTTACTGATAACCCCCTAATTCGCATTCTGATTTTCATTCTCAACGTTAAACTCTACTTAGTAAATAATTAAGCGAAAAGTGCCTTAATATCTTATAAATGAAAGCTTCTCCTAATCCCTTTTCACGACAGATGGGAACGAAATTTTGTGGAAATTAAAACAATTTATGTATTTATTTATCATTAGTTACTGGTGCGACAAGAAAGATTCTTTTGCAAACCAAAAACGATAATTCACTTGTTACTTTATATTTTGATTTTGGGGCTCCCATTTACAGTTTGAAAAATGCGAGAACAAAATGAATTCATGGAATTGAAACACAAGCGGTTGTAAATATCGGGTTTAATAAGTAAAAAAAAAAAAACGGAGAACCCCTGTCGGGGGAATAAGACCGAGTAATATCAATTATCAGAAACACCGCGATGGAACGAATTTGGAACTCCAAAAAACTCTACATTATCAAATTTTGAACAGGACTGTACCCTATCGCTTTATCGTTCAACGTGAAATCAACGTACATACCACAACACTAAGCTTATCTATTGTACATAGAGAAATGAAAACAATTTGAATAACAAATAAAACAAATAATAGATGTTGCTTAAGAATTCAAAACTGGAGGTCGAACTAGAGTTAAATAGTGTGTTATTTATTGTGGGGTCTGAAACAGTTTCTAGTGTTGTGAGTGAAGAAATTATTTCAAGTCGTGAGCTTATTACTTAAATATTTCTTTAAATAGTCTTATGAAATAGTCCAAGCTTTTAAAACTAAGTATAGTATATGAATAAAACACGAAACAATTCAAAGATTAGTAGCAATATATCTTAAGGGTACAAATTGTTACGATAAAGAAGGCATAGTTTCGTTTTTTTGCACTTTTCTGCGTCTTTCACATGCAAAAGGTAGAAATGTAAATATTTATTAAAGAAATGTTTTCACGGGGATAGCTTCACTTACACATAAAATACATATGGAATCGATCGAGAGATAAAAATGATTAATTGATTGAATCTATCCCCGTGATAACGACGAGTGTAAAGCAAGGAAGTGTTAAGCAATAGAGCGAAAGAGAGGAATTGAGCAGGACAGAGAGCGGTAGAGAGCACACCCGTGCAGAGCAAAAAGCGGGAGTTGTAAGAGAAGAGAGCAAAAGGTTTTGTGTAGTGCTTCCCAAGGCATGCGAGCAGATCGCACGACCAATTCAGAAAAATGAGAGCGGCGTAAAGCTGAGCTCGTGTGCGTGTGTGTGTGTGTGTGTGTAAAGAGATCGTTACTGCGTGTTCAAGCAGTGTGTGTGACAAAGACGGAACGATCGAACCAAGTGGGATTAGCAAGCAATATAATCGTTATTGTTGCTGTTGTGGTTGTTGGGTTGTTTGGATTGGTCTGATTGCTGTGTGTGTGGGAGAAGAAGCAGAGCTTGAAGCAGATATATTTACCTTCCATTTTCGGCACTTGACCCACAGTCGTTGAATTTGTTGTGTTCTGTCTGAGCTGCAAATTCAAATTCAAATCTGTGGATGTTGTGGATTGTGCATGAAATTCGGTGTTCTGTGAGAGAATCTTATTTGACGAGGACGAGGACGAGCACTCAACGACATATGACGAGGTTGCCGATGCCGATGCCAATGCTGCAGCCGTTGCAGGTGCAGACGACGACGTTGAGGCGCTGCCAACGCCAGCGATAACGCCTCCGATGCCCGCGATACTGCCACCGAATTGCGGCTGTTGCGGCTCAAACGCGAAACTCTCCTGTGGCGAGTTCGTTGGCGTTACCAACGCCAACGTCGGCGACCAGACAACGGCGTCCGGCGCCGCACTGAAGCGCGGATTGAACGACGTGATAGTATTGGCATTTCCATTACCGTTTGCGTTACCGTTACCATTGCCGTTGGTGTTACCGTGCCCGACCGCGATCGCGTGTGTTACGTTTTTCGTTAGGTTGGCCGCGGCGCCGCCGGCAAAAGCAGCAAATTGGGTTTCCTCTCTGGCCATGCCCGGCGGGCTAGAAAGAGTTGAATGGAAGGTTACACTCTTCAAGAGCTTACTGTGCCTAGCCACGTACCCTTCCAAGGTCGGCTCCATGAGTAGCCCCCTCGACGGGGCCGGTGCACTACTAGAACCAGCATTGGCGTTCGCCACGTCTTGGGCATCGCCGGCAGGGACTGTAGCTTCGCTTAACCCTGGCTCGTTGGCGGCGCTACCGCCCTTGTGCAGTTTCTTTAATATGCTTTTCAACTTTCGCCGCTCGAGTGTTTCATTTGATTCCGGACTAAGTGGCATGTAGTCTGGCTGCAAGGTCGACGATGATGCTAAGCCATGCTGTTGCTTTGTGTTTGTATCCGACGCCGATGCGGAAGCAGATGCTGAAGCCGACGCTGAGGCCGATGCCGAGGCCGAGGTATTAGTCGAGGTGGATGCGGAGCTGGTCGTTGATTCGTAGGTACTGAGAAACTGCGAGTAGATGCCGGAAGTGTCGCTGTAGCAGCGATAGAGCGACTCCGAAATGGGCACCTCGTTATTGTTGGTCGACGTGGAGCAGTCCAGGCTGAAGCTGCGCGTCTGCAGCGCCTTCTCCAGCTCGGCCAGCTTCTGGCGTTCGTTGAGTATCTTCAGGCGCTTAACGAAGGGCAGGCCACAGTACTCAGGCGACAGATCGAAGACACTCTGATAGAACTTGCGTCCGTCCGTCGTCGTCTCCGGCTCCGGTTGTGTGTCCTTTTTGAGTCGTGCCGACTTCAGAGCCGCACTCTGCTCCAGGCATTCGCGCGTCGTGGTCAGGGTGCTGCGCGTAGTTGAGGAGCATGTCGAAGAGGTGGATGCATGGCGCGGAGAACGCGAGCTACGCGCACTGCTGTGTCGCGGTCTGGCACCGCCCCCACCACTTCCTCTGCCAGAATCCCCACCAGCCAACATGTGCTGGGGAATGTTGCTTAGCGAATAGTTTTTGAGCGGGGTGCTCAAGTCGTCCGGCGAACAGTTGGTCAGACTGGTGTAGCTGGAAGACATGAGCGTGGCCAGCTTCAGCTTGGACCAGGGCTTGATGGGCGTGCCATCGGTGTCCGTGTCGGAGTGTAGAGGCGTGTGCAGCTTGTGGGACGGTTTTATCACTTTTTTCGATATTGTGGCTATGCTCTGGCTGGGCAGCGATGCTGCTGCCATTGTCTCATCGGCTTTTGTCGACAACGGCGCTGTCGTTGTTGCGTGCTTGGCCACTACGGCCAGAGATTTCGGTGGCTCCTTCTTGGCAATGGCGCCCGTGCTGCTGCTCATGGTGCTTGAAGCGGCCCCTCCTAGACTGCCACTCTGCAGCTGCTGGATCTTCTGCTTGAACGAGACCTTCATGATCGGCTTAATTTGGGCGACCGTCAAAGACTGCCCAGCCAGGCCGGTACCTGAACCGGGCGCACTGCTAATACCTGGACCGAAATGTGTGTCGATTTTGCTGCTGATGTTTGGCGGCGTATTTACCTGTGAAGGGGGAGATATGGTGTTGCGGTGGGGCGGAGGGGCAGTGGGGGGAGGGGTAAAGAAAAATATATATGTTAGTCACGTGTCTACAGCTTTGTCCTAACTAGCTAGGGATAATGTGTGCTTATTGTTATCTAGAGTTATCGGGTTGGTGGGGATTTGTGGGCTGAGATTTGAGATTGGAGATTTTCGTTTACCATGGCGCTGGCGGCCGTCTCGATCGCCTGCGGTTCGTTTTTTATTTTCAACTGCTGCAGTCGCTGTATTAGGGGAAAGCCTTCGTTGAACTCGCGTTCGGGCTCTTCCTGTATTGATTCCTGCGGCGATAACGTACACGTTACATGTGAGTGAGGTGGAGATTTCTGTGGTGGTGTGGACTTAACAGCTCGCTCTTCGCGATCCTAGTGCAAGACACATAAAGACACATACAAAACTACTTTTTAGGAGCCGGGGAAAATTACATACAACACAATTTTGGTGGAGCTTTCGGTACTGTTTGGAGTTAAGCAAAAATCAAAATGCATTTAAATTGTTCGAGTGGTGTTTGTTCTCGTTCTTCTCTCTTTCTATGATGTTGTATTGTTGTTTGTTCTTTTGTAATTAAAAAGCCAACAAAAGGCAGAAAATTAAAAGCGTTTTACAAATAGTATGCACATGTGTGGGTGTGTGTATGTGTGGGTGTGTGTATGTGTGGGTGTGTGTATGTGTGGGTGTGTGATTTGAATGTTTCATTTATGACGGCACCACAAAGTGTCACCTCATTTGTCATCTACAATTTCTCGCATTGTGTGCCTATTTAACTGAGTGTGCGTATATTTGCGTGTGTGTGTGTGTGTGTGTGTGGCTGTTTAATCTTTTGTTTAGTGTGCCTCTTCCATTGTTGTTGTATACAAAAGTATTAAGATTTTTAAATGAAATATTTACGCATTACTTGCACAAGCGGGTTACTAATGGAAAGGCACTAACTGCAGCAAAAAAGCAAAAACTATAAGCATTTACGATTTAGAGCTTGTGTTCTGCGAGGCTGCCTAACTAGGGAACTAAGCTAATCCACGTTAACTAAACTACTTCCAGCTGAGACTAAGAGACTATATAGGAAAATGATTCCAAGTAATTTATTTCTCCCTCGAATTCAAATACAGTATAATAAGCAGCTTGAAATTTGCATTTGCCAGCATTTGGTGCATCCAAGTTAGCAGCCTTTGTGGCAGATCTGGCAGCCCTCTGGTGGAAAAAACGATGACAATGATCAACGATTGTTTTAAGAGCTTCGATTGAAATTAATGGCGTCTAGCTTACATTGTAACAATAAAACACATATTAACTAATTGAATTAAGTGTTTTGATAATTAGCTTACTTAGCTGAGTCTTTGCTAATACTGGATAAGCCAAACCTTCTCGACTTAAGCACCTCATATTGGCAGTCATTTTTTGTAATTTTCTATGAAATTTAAAAAATCTTGCTGCGCCATCTATGAAAATTGTTTTTCAAAAAGGTTGTCCCTTTATATTTAGTTAGAATGGCAATGTGTACATATTTTTTTTGACTACCGTTTAATACTTAGATCGTGGCTTTTCAGTGGATACATACATATTTAATTAGTTTAAAAATTGAACAAAAACTGACTAGTGTGTTATGCGCTGAATTAATTGTAACATATTACAAATTAACCGTATTATGAAAGAGTAAGCCGAAAACCAACAATCTGCAAAAGCGCAAACGAAAAGGCGCACACTAATATAAAATATTACTTAATAAATTAAACTTATGTTCGCTGCATTTTTAATTTAACTGCCTCAATAGTCTGTGCAAAGTATTGGGGGCAGCTAAGCAAATTACTCTGTATTTCAAAGAATTTCCATCAGAGTGCTTCGAACGACAAGTACGGAATTGAGCTCGCCAGTCCCTTTTTCTTAATGTGGACCTTCAATAGACTACATTTGTATATGGAACTCAGCCTGCTCTCCTTCTTCAACTCAGATAAGCACAATTGATCATGTGTTAAAAATACGTCCCTTTTTTTAATGGATGATAATTAATTAATTAATTCTCTTAATGATTAATGTCGATGATTTCCAGAAGACTTTTCAATTTGAAACCTTGTCCTATGATATAAGCTTCCTTTAAGCTCAGCTTCCTGGATAAGCTCAACTGGAACCGTCTATCCAAATGAAGCGTGTGTTCACTGTGGTGTGTGTTCACAATATTTATTTAACTCAGTGTTCACTCCGTGCACTAGCGTGCACTGTACTTGTATGCTGTTGGTACGTGTATTTAAAAATCGTAACGTGTTTTCAAGGTGCACTAAAAATTTTGCACTTTGCAATACAACGCAAAACAGAAAACGTAGAACTTGAAGAGAAGTAGAGGAAAAAGCGAAAGCACTTAAATACAATAAACAAATGACATTAAACCAACTTTTTATTTATTAATATTCTCTTTTTTGTGTGTGTGTGTGTGTGTGTGTCTGTGTTTGGTGTTCAATCAATCTGCAATCAATGCAGTCACTAGTCACTATAATGCTTGCTTGTTTACTTTTTTGTTAGAGAAAAAACCATTTAAAGCTCGTTGGGAATGTGGGCGAGTGTGGACTTGTGGAATTCGGATTGTGGCATGGAGAGTGGCACGAGAATGCGAATGCGAATGAATGCAGTTGCGAATGTAAATACAAAACCAAGTGAGAGTAAGTGAAAGAAAGAACAGCGTGTGTGGGGTGTGACGAGCACATCACCGCCACTTACCTGCTTCTCCTTCAGCAGCCGCAGACGCTGCAACAGCGGCAGCCCAGCCCCGATCGGGCTAGGCGTCTTGTCGTGCAACTCATCTTTGGCCTCCTCGGCGTCCTTCTCGTCCGAGCGCACGCGCGACATGCGCTTCAGCATAATTTTGCTGCCACGTGGTGAGGTGTTATGCAACGGCTGCATTTCGAGCGATTCATCACTCTTGCGTGAGGTTCTGCACACAGAGGGAAACTGGAGTTAAGTGGGGACTAACACATGACCAACGATCTACGAAACCAAGTAATCCAAAGAAACCTGTTGCGAACCGAGCTCAGTACAGTAACTATTAACGAGTGAAGTAAGTCGATCTGATCTTGAAGATGTAATCTATTTTGACTAGCGGAACTGAAGTATGTTGATACTTACTGTAAAGAGCCCGGCTCGATCATAGGTTGTTCCGGTACTCCGTTAAGGTCAAAACTGCAACTCAAAATCAAAACTGAACTCGATCCTTACTAATGATAACTAATTGAAACATTTTTTAAAAGTTGTTCATTAGAAAAACAATTTATGTGAGACAATACATATTTATAATACTAATTGTGTGGTGCATATACTTGTAGAAGGTTATCGTACATCCCAGTGAACAGAATATAGTTCTGGAAATCAACTTTATATTGATACAAGGAGTACCTTGGTCTTGGTTCCATTGAAAAATCATACATTTGAACAGACTTAGGCCTACCTGGACTTCTTGAGCACATTGCGGAAACCCTTAACATCGTGCTTGAGCTTGTCGACAATCTTCTTGGACGCACTATTCTCGCTGCTATCGCTCTGGTGCACCTGTCCCTGATGATGGTGCGCCGGATGATGATGATGGGCAGCCGCATATGCCGCCTCCTTGTCGCTTTGCGCTTTGGCGTACTTCTTGTTCACACAGCGCACCTCCATCAGACGTTTGCGGCCGAGCGTCTGGAGTATCTCCTGCGCATCTGGATAGTCCTTCATGGCAGCGAGCACATCCTCGCGCGACAACGAGAACAGCTCCGAGTAGCCCACGGAGCGCACATCGGCGGTGCGTCTGAGGCGTCGGACAGCAGTTCAGTGAGATAAGGTGCTTGATATAATCTAGCTAGGTGGGGTCACTTACTTGTTTAAGCCGTCCAGATTAAGGATGCCGATCTCGCCAAAAAAATCACCTGCCTTCATGGTGGTCAGCACTTTTCCCGTCTCGCTCAGCACCTCGAGTATGCCATCTGCTATGATGAACATCTCGCGCGCCACTTCGCCCTTGCGACAAATTGAGTCGCCCGGGGTGAAGATATATGCCTTCATTTTCAGCACCAAATCGTGCAGAAACTCTGGCTGGCACTCTTGGAATATGGTCACCTTCTTCAGTACGCTTAGATTTACGTGTAAGGCCAATTCGGTTTTCAGTTTGTCGGGCAGCAGGCCCAAAGCGGTATTGATGTCCCCGCCACCCTGGATGCGACCCCGCGACCAACTGTAGTCGTACCAGCGCAGCACGCGTCGCTTCATGCCGCCGGGCACCTGTTGCCCGAGCAGAGGGTGCGTGAGTGAGTGAGATCTAGTCTAATCGCCAGTTGGGCATGTGCCGCAGATCCCTACTTACCTTGTGGTGCCTCATATAGGTCTTGGCGCCGTCCAGCAGTCGCTCGAACTCCAAGCGATTCGCATTACGATTTGTTATCACATTGCCCACTTGGCCCACAATTGTCGCAAAGATAAAAACACCAATCAAATAACTAACGATCGTAAAAATATACCTGCGGAACGCAAAGAAACCGTTTAGAAAATATCGGACAAATATCGATGGTTGAAAAGGGGATCAAATAATTATTTAGGCGACAACGACACAGCACCATAGGTCTAAACAGAACTCGGGAGAATACTTGGAAAACTGCAAGTTTAAGAGAATGTGCAGCTCCATTCTTAATTCACTTGAGCTTAAGCCTTTGAGACTTAGAAAAGAGAGCAACATGGGCTCATGAGTTTGGCGAGCTTTGAAAAGAGAAAAGTGGAAGAGCAACTGCTATTCGTTTTCTTTTATTAATTTTGATCCAAAACTTCCACTGATCTGTGCTCCAATCCTCAATAGGCAATCTTATTAATTTCTTTCGAGTGTTTGTCTAATCTGACATCATTGTTTTTTTCCTTTGTCCTTTTTCCAATCCAATAAGTTTTAAGAAGCCTTTCTTTAAATTGCAGACAAAATATTGTTTTGGGATAATCCACTCTGGCCATGACGTTGCCACCCAAATGATATACATAAAACCTTATCAAAGTTTTCGAAAGTTAATTTCAATCGGAAATTGACTTTTTATGTTCATGTTTTGGTCTCGAAGAAGAAAAAATGAATATCAAGGTTTTTGTTAAAGGCTGTCGCACGATTTTCGAAAACTTTGATGTCAGCCAAGAATGCCAAAAAGATGATAAAATACTTGAAGCAGGGGATCTTGCACGCCCTAACGATGTAGCCACAAAACAGCCGCGAACGAATTTGGTGGACAGCCCCCAACAAAACGCATGATATTGATATTTTCTTTCGATAATTGTTTTTTCTTAGCTTAAGATGTTAGTCATACCCATAGCTAGAGCCAAACTGAAGGAGGCGTGATTTAATGCCACGTCTTGGTATTGATCTTGGGCCGTCCACCGAAAAGTTCGGTCTGTTTTGGTTTTTGGTTGCAACGAATCGAAACGAAATAAGACGATCAAAAAAAGAGACAAGAAACCCACCCAAATGACACTCTTTCTTTCGGCTATTGATGTCGTACTCACTCTGCATTCGTCTCCGGCGTGGGCAGGTCCCCGATGGTGGTAAGGGTGAGCGTGGACCAGTAGAGACTGCCCAGATACTTGCGCGTCAAAGTGGCGTAGTCACCCGGCCTATACGGATACACCCAATCGCCCTGCAAAGCAAAGTGTGAAAAGTGTCAATGCACGGCTATTTCAGTTCCATTCTGAAGAGTACAAGTAGAGCTTACCTGAAAACCCTCCGCTTCGGAGAGCAAAAAATAGAAACAACCGAACCAATGCGCCAATATTAACAGGATATGAATTAGATTAACAACACGCCATAAATTTGGCCAAACTGTTCTACTCTCTACGATGTAATAAAATCTCACAGATCGATAAACCTGCAAGGAATCCAACATTAAGAGTGTTTAGAGACCACTGGTAAAAAATCAGAGACGCATTCAATGGAGGACCTACTTTAAAAAACCGCGTAAAACGCAAAAGCGGATGTGTGCCCATTTTCAGTTGCAGCAGATCCAGGGGTATTAGCGCCACCATATCGAAGAAGAAGTCGCGCGAGTGCACATAATGGCAGGCCAGCTTCTTGTCGTCATATACCTGCATGTGAACGGAGGAGGAAGGATGTTCGGAGCAAGACGGTTATAAATACTGATAGATAGGTGCTCGCACTTACCATTAGACCCTGCTCCAGATAGCCTGTGCGTAATTGAACTATTATATCTAAGATAAATACAACATCTGTCAATGAATCGCAGATGAGCCAAAATGTAGGCACAGATTGCTAAAGGATCAAAGAGATGAGGATAACAAGAGCTTTGTCATTTGCATAATTATGAGTATTATTAAGCTGCAGCGAATAGTTAGTCAAAGTCCAATTGTTGGTGCGGAGCCAATTCATGCATTTGGTAAATGACAATGCAGTGATGGCCCCACCTAGCACTTTGCCAATTGCAGGCGTTGCCAAGTCCTGCCCCGGACCCGGATCACGGACCCATGACCTTTGTGGCCCAGTTTCAAATCAAGCGCTGTTTGCCAACTTTTGCTTGTTTGCCTTCCTGCCTCGCCTTGTGCTCCCTCCCCTCCCGCCACCAAAACAAAAGCCCCGGTCATGTCTAATCTGATAACAAACGCCCAGTTACCTGGCCGCATAAACAAATATTTGGCCAACTCCAAGCCGAAACCTTCGACCCTCAACCGACCTATGCCCCAAACGAGAGAAAACCCAACGGAGCTTATTATTTGACGCCCTTCAAAACTCGTTCGTCGCCCACAATCCACAATGCACAGCCCACCTTTCCATCTGTCCACCTGTCCGTTCATCGTTCGTCGTTTGTCGTTCATCGCTTGTCCTTCCTTCTTCGTTGGTTGGTTTCTTTGGTTCGTGCGCTTTAATTGAGTCGTTAGATGATGGCACGAAGCGACATAAAATTATGTAGCTGCAAGTCAACTTGACGGGGCTCATATTACCATGCACAATGGAAAAAGGTGTCCCTTTTCATGTCCTTCATGGCAATAGAAAAAACGAGAAGAAAATAATAACGGCTGTAGCCGTAGCCGTAGCCACAGCAGCTAAAACAGGAACAGAAACAGAAACAAAAACCGAAACAAAAACAGAAACAACAACAAGAAATATGAAAAGAAAACACACGCTTCTTAAAGCGCTCGAAGTGCCGCGGGCTCGACCTGTCATTTAAAATTGTTTCGCTGACAGCACGTGCTGCTCATCCCATTCTCATTCGCATTCACATGCCCCTTTTCATACTGCTTCCTGCCCTTTTCCCCTATCCCCCTCTCCCCTATTCATTCCCATTCGTCGCAGCCGAATTTGAAAATGAAGGGGTTACAATATTTGACAGCGCACTTACCTGCAGTTCAGGAAAGCTCTGCCTCACAATTAGGGTCCATAGATTATATAGAACACATACAGTTAGCATCATTAGCCAATAGAAGTAAAAATTTTCATCTGGATTAACAACGGAGCGTCGTTTCTGCAGATAGCGTCGTCTGCGTTTAACACTTTTGTCGACGTCACCAGAGGCACTTTCTGAACCCGTGTCTTCAACAGTTTCCTGCATCGCAACAGACAAGTTATGTTAGTTATGCCAATGTTAGTGTATTGCGTAGTCTTGGAGCTTGTCTTGGACTTACCTGTGTTTCGGGTATCTGTCTAGTTGAGAAACGCTTCAGGAATGAGTCTTCGCGCTTTAGCGGTGGTTTCTTTTGTATTGCCGATGAAATCTGTACGGTCGTTCGCAGCTTCATCCAGCGTTGATTCGAGCGTGTCCTGTACGACGATAGAGTGACAGAATGACATTGAAATGTTGTGCATACAGACAGACAGGTGCAGAGTAGAGTAGAGTAGAGTATAGAGGTTGTTGCTACATCGCTAAACACAACATGAGATTAGGTTATCATCTATAGAGGTGGCTTGGGTGGGCGGGTTAAACGAAGTTCAACAAAGCAACACAGACACATGCAAGAGGCGTGCAGTTTGAAAAAATGGAGTACACATACACTAATAGAGTACTCTAAGAGTAGTGGGTGCTCTACATCTATGGCTATGGCTATGGCTATCACTAGGGAACTTACAGCACTTACAAAACACTTACGCTATGGTGAACGAGTTGAACGAGAAGTAGTAGTAGAAGTAGTAGTAGTAGTAGTAGGAGGTAGAGAGTAGAGATAGAAGTATAGGAGCATAAACATTCATTAAACGGAAACCCAAAAACCGTAACGCAAGCTCACACAAATGGCACGGAACGCAATGCTAACGGTTACGTTAATGGCAATGCTAACGGTATTGGTAACGGTAACGATAACGGTAACTGTGATTGTGACTGTAACGCTAACGGAAACGCACACAGGAACACGCACAAACATGTAGGAGTACGAGTAGTTAGGCAGGTAGTTAGATAAGAGATTTATGTATGTAATTGCTTCATTTTTATTTATATTTATTGTGTTCGTGTCTGTATGTGTGTGTGTGTGTGTGTGTGTGTGTGTGTGTGTGTATGCTCGTTTAGCAGCTGACTGCCTGACCGACTGACCATCTGACCGGCTCACTAGCCGACCAACTGGCCATCGCCCAGCCAAGCGTCTGCTCTCAGTTCCGTTAGGGAGCGGAAACTGAAGCGCACGCTCTGCTAACTTGACGCTGCATGCAAAAACGCCGGAGGTTTTTTTTTGGTTGATATTGTTGTGAACATAAAACTTAGTTGATTTTATTGAATACATAGATACTATATGGAAAAGGTGAGGAGACAGTAGGGTGCCTATAATGTGCATAATAAATCAAATATAGGTAAATGCAGTTAGCAAAGCCGAGAACAAATAATGACAGCTCTATGCAGCAAACACATAGATATCTATCTATGCACACACATATATATATATAGAATAGTATAGTATAGTATAGTTGGAGGAAGGATGCCGGTTGTGCACTAAAAAAACACGCAGCACAAAAACAAAACATAAACGTACGCAACAACAACAAATTGAAATGAAAAGCAAGTGGGCGGAAAATTAAATCTGAGCAGCAGCAGAAACCAGAAACAGAACAGAAACAGAAGAGAACAGAACAGAACAGAACAGAAATAGTGAAAGGAGCCGTAGAAAGCAGCAGATTTGGGGCCAAAAGATTTTCAACTAAGGACGAAACAATTTTGTTGATTTTTGCACCCACACACACACACACACACACACACAAACTCATACAGAAATATCCACAAATTGAGTTGAGTTTGACCCGAAACTGCTCAGCTCTTTTATGATTGTATGTGTGTGTGTGTGTGTGTGTGTAAGGGTCTGCTTGGAGTCTAAGCAGCTGCAGGCTGTTAACACGGACCATGAAACATAAAGCAGTAAAAACGTATTTTAGTAGCAAAATTCAAGTTCTTGGGGTTGAAAAATGGGACAAGAAGAAACTGTTGTCTACTTTTGTGGCCACATAAGTAAATAAGCATGTACAAAATACGAGAGATGCTGCTTTAGCCGAGCGAAAGTCATGTACGAATAGTTGTTGAAGAATTTCGAAAAAATTTTGCCTACTTCTCAGCGCAGCGCAATCAACGACTTTATTGTACATATACTTACATATAGTACGTAACAATGCATGATGAGTATTTTGGAAGATATATATTAAGTCCAAGTTATGAAATTTTTCGAAAAAAATGAGGAAGAAAACTCGCTCTGCTGCTGTAAAAGGCAAAGTTAAAGAGAACTGGAAAGCTATTAATAGTACGCGTTTAATTTAATGATGATATTTTGAAAGCTTTCAATAAATTTAAACATTTATTTGTGGGCACTTATTGTTTAAGGCCGCTAATTGTGTATATTAACTTTAATTTCAATTTTCTATTTTTTTTTATAAATTTATTTCAAGTTCAGAGTGCATCGAATTTTTCATTTCAAATAATTTACGCAAGCAATTTGAATATTTAATTATTGTTTGCTATCGACCGCTGCGACCATTGATAATTTTCCAGCTCTAGTGAAAAGGTGTGCGATATCGGCCGCTCGGAAAGGAATGTAGGCGACACACCGCATGAAAAGTAACTTTGAGAATCACCTGCGATTTCCCGATGCCACACATACGCATACAAATGAAAAGGCACATTCAATAAATCAATACGAACAAAAGAAACTAAAACCAATCCTTAAAATTAAACACTACGTGGAACTAATGACGACGAAGACGACGACGAGGACGATGACGACCACAACTAAGACGATTGGCACTAGACTAGGATTTGGATGGGCATGTGGATGTGGATATGGATGGAGGTAGAGACGCACTCCTGACTTGCATAGTCAGACTATGCATTTGGGGCTAAGGCGTTGTAGATAGTATTGCTCAGGTCGCTAGTCGCCGATAAAATCTGCTTGCTGCCCACAAATGGGTAAAAATATGAAATTCGAATTATATACAAATAACTTGTACATACGGGTATATGAATAGTAAGTACATTATGCTCTCTATATTGATTGCATTATAATTTAACTGAGGCGATTCATTCGTTTTTCATTTTGTTTTTTTTTTTGTTATTTTTTTGTTTTTTGTTTAGCACAAAGCAACAAAAACAAGTTCTGCTTATTTACAAGCTGCTCATAACTTTTTGCTTAATTTATGCACACAACTAAAGCAATTTTCGAACGGATGTATGTGTGTATATATAGCGTGTGTGTATATATATATGTATATATAATTCAGTATGTGATTTTTTATTTTTTGTACTTTCGATAATTACACATTCGCACTTTGCATCAAGCTACAAAATGTTGTCAAATTGTTGTTATTTTAAATTGTTGTTGCTGGTGGTTGTTTCGCTTTTTAGAGCGATGTGTGTAATACGAGTGTGTGTGGATATGTGTGGTATGTAAGACGATGTTTGCTTAAATATATATTTACAGCGCTTTTTTATATATAGTATGTTTATACGAATTCTGTGGTGTTGTTTAGTTGTTTGCTACACAAATTACGCATACGGTATGTGGTACGAAAAAGAAGAAGCAGAAGTAGAAATGCAAATGCTCTCAGCTAATACTATGTGAAAAATTCTTTATACAGATGTCAGCATGTGAGTGTGAGTCTGAGATTGAGATTGAGAATGTAGTTGTATGTATGTGTGTGTGTGTGTGATTGGGTGTGGGTGTGTGTGTAAGTATGTAGCATGTGTGACTATATTAGCGTATGAGGGCCAACTACTTATGGCGAAGCGCTTGGCAAACGTTGAACAGATGCATCTAGCAGCATATGGTAACTATGTATATCTAGGAACAATTGCGATTTAACTATACTATATGTATAATGTACTATTGTTGTTGTTGGTATTGTTGCTAAACTGTATGCTGCCATTAAAGTTTGCAGTGGGGATGTGCTTGTGTTTGTAGTGTGACCAACGCAATTGAAAGGCAAAGCGCGCGCAAAAACAACAAAGCGTAGTAGCGAGTCTTTCTGTACGTACATATGTATGTATGTATGTGTGTGTGTGTGTGTCCGTCTGTCTATGTGTGTGTTTACTATTCAGCGTGTGTTTGTCTGTGTGCGTTGGTGTGCAGACATAACGCAAAAGAACGCAAATCACTTACCAATCGGAATCTGGATCCGAAGCTCCATCTCCGATACGCGATTTCCTAAACGAGTTGCGAAAATGTTCATATTTTTTGCAGAGTTATAAAATGTTGTTTTTGTTTTGTTTTTTTTTTTTTTTGGTTGTTTGTTGTGAAAATTGTTGTTGTGTTGTTTGAGAGCGATAGAGATTGAGATTGAGATTGAGAGAGAGAGAGAGAGAGAGAGCGAGAGTGACATACACAGAGAGATAGCTAGGGACTGAGCAATGCTCGTGTGTGCTTCAAGAGACAGAGCGCGAGAGAGCGAGAGGGAGAGAGAGAGAGTGTGTGTGATTGAGAGTGGGGCGCGCATTTTCATTGATGCTGATGCTGCTGCTGCTGCTGCGCGGCTGCTGCGCTGCTGCTTCTGCCGTTACTGCTGATGATGTTGATGTCTTATCATATTTCAATTTGTGTGGGCGAGCGGGCGTCTATGCGTGTACATGTATGTATGTATGTATGTACGTGGAAGGGGGGCCGACGCGGGCGAGCAAAAGTGTTGGCTGATTAAACAACGACAAGCAGCACATTTTTGTGCGCCTGCCAAAAGGCCATTTTCCAGCACACACACACACACACACACATTCATACGCAAACACGCACGCACAGACAATTCACATTATGCGACTGATATCGGGCGCCAGTAACAGGCCCGATGAGCGAGGGACCGGGCTTGGCTTCACTTGGCTTTTGGCCACATGCGGGCTATGCGTGCCATCAAGCGGAAAAAAGGCTTGCTGCACGATAAGATGGCGCACACCAGCGCCAACACACACTACCTTCTATTTCATTTCTGTGTATGTGTGTGTGTGTGTGAGTTGCCGTTGACCCCATTGTTATTGTGGTCAGCAAGCCCATTTCGTAAGCTTCGATTTATTATAAATTGAAAATGAGCTTGTTAGCTGGCGTTTCCATTTTCATTTTCGATTTGTAGGCCTTCGTGTTTTAAGGTTTTTATTTTGTTTTTCGGCATTTTTTTTTTTTGGCTGCCTGCTGAAAGGTCAAAGTGTTTAACTCGTTTCGTTGGCCCCATAATAGAATACTTTATGGCCAGCACTAATCACTGCATATATGTATGTATGTATGTATTTATATGTATGTATGTAAGTGTGAGTGTGGGTTATATGCTTATGTTGACGGGCAAATTATTTAATAGCTTTGTTGCGGACCCTCCTCAATTAACGGCTGCACATGTTGTCCACACATTTCACATCTTCCCAGCACTTGCCGCCTTCAATCGTTTCATACCGCAATTTGCTGTCAATTTGCATGACCAGGCGTATTTGTTTTTGTTTTGGTTTTTGCTTCTGCATTTGCCTTTACCGCTTCACTGGCCAAGTGAAATGTGTAATAAACAACAGGAATGTTTGTTGTAAGCGAAAGGTTTTTCCTGTTCACTTTCATTTATAATATGGTGTGTGTGTGTGTGTGTGTGTATGTATCGGTGTCGGTGTCAGTGTGGTGGGAAAACTGCATAGTCATGTGAATGACTCATTTAGCGCTAGTTTTTTAATTCGCACATCTTAGTACCACAGCAAATAATTCCATTATTTTGCGGCCAATGCTGTTAAATCTATCAACTAGTCATGCAACGGCTACAGCTTCTGCATCAAGACTTTTCAACGTTTTTCTTCTTTACAAGAAACGTACAAGTATAATATATTTGACGATCAATCAATATCCAAACCAATTCGTATTAAGCTATGAATGGTTATTTAAATCTCTGCACAGTCCTACACAAAAGAATTATATACATTTCGTGTAATTTAAAAACTTCCCACTATTTCCACAAGAAAATTGTGAAAAGTCGAACAAAATTTAATCAGACAAATTGATTAAGAACTGGGAAAGCCTAGATGGCTAATAATATTAATCTTTAGTATTTAAATTGTCAAAATAGCATTTCTGCCAGACGTACCATACTAAGTGGTCATAAATAATAATAATGCATAAATAGAATTGTTTTATTCCAATCTTAGAGACTCAAATAATTGAAATGTTATTATTTCACATTTATCGGCAGCCAGTGCCACACACACACACGCACACACTCACACTATTGCCTGCTGCATTGTCGTGTGCGGAAAGGCAATAATCATGTCAGCTTTATTGCCTATTTTTAGTCGACACTTGTGCGTCTGCATATTTCATTTCCCCTGTTGTCTTCTGCAAAATGCATGAACGAACTCTTGCCATTTGCCTGGCCTAGTTTAATGGATACATCTGTCTATGCGTCTGTGTGCATTCTTGCCACAATTCTCAAAGGTATGCAGAAGTGGAAGATCTCACACAGTGCAAAAAGGACACTGCAGGGTTACTAGCTCGACTTATGCAAGACTTGAAGGATTCACAATTTAATGTATTTGTTTCATAATTCACTCATTATACCCTGTACCCGTAGGGTAAAAAGGGTATATTAGGTTTGTGCAAAGTATGTAACATACAGAAGGAAGCATCTCCGACCCTATAAAGTATATATATTCTTGATCAGCATGACGAGAGAAATCGATCTAGACATGTCCGTCCGTCTGTCCGTCCGTCTGTCCGTCCGTCTGGATGAACGCGAGGATCTCAGAAACTATAAAAGCTAGAATAACCAAAGTTGGCATCCAGATTCTCCTAGGTCCGAGTAAGGACGAGTTTATTTTATTTTTTGGAATTTTCCCCCCCTTCCCCCGCTACAGAATTTCGTCAATAGCGTCCACATTTCAAATACTACATTAACCAAACTTTACACACATAATTTATATATAATTGTCTACTGTTATATTTTATTCGATTCGGTCAATTCTAAGAAAAGTTATTAGCAAAACAAATTCTCGCCAGTACAACCCCCCCAAACTGCAGCAACAAGTTCGCTCTTCTTCTTCCTCTTTTTGCTGCTGCTATAGGCGCATATAACTCAGTGACGGAAGTTTACCTGGGTACAGGGTATTACACTGTCGGGCTTGCTCGACTGTAGCGTTCTCTCTTGTTTTAATTCATGACCTAACACGTCAGTCTCAACAAATACAAACTGATGAGGGTTCTACACTATAATATAGTTTTCTTTTTTAAATAATATACATTTGCGTTCAAATCATTTGCACGACTGACCGCAACATAAATCCTTGCACTATAAACTTTGATATCTTATGTATAACCATAAACGTAAGTATAAACCAATTGAAATATGAATCAGTGAAGTAGTTGTATTTTCTTCATATATTTGTTGCAAGTTTTTGCTTACAGTTTCAAATTAGTTATGAAACACAAGCATTCACTAATAATGATATTCTGAATAAATGATTTCAAACAAATATGTAAAGTCGATTAAATTCAAATATTTTAAGTAGGGAGTGGTTTCTGAATCATAGCAAGTGTAGTGTTCGTATGAATTAATGCGCAGCTCTCGTTAGAGTGCACTCGTGCAGGCCTCTAATGTGCCATGCCATCGCTCACACATCAACCATTAAGGCAATATTAATGACTTGGTATACTTTTTAATGCTGTTTTGTTCCCTTTTTGTTGTTTTGTGCAAACTTTTGGCCTGCCTTTAACTTTTCACTTTAGCCCCCGAGGCAAGTGCAACAAATGCCAAACATGTCTGGCTGAGTGGATGTATTTCTGAGTGTGTGTATGAGTGTGTATGGGTGAGTGGGTGTGCAAGTGTGGCTGTGAGTGTATGCCAAGTCAAGCGGCACTAAATCAAAATACAATTGCTATGCGACATAAGACCTAAGAGTGAAATTTGATTGCGAATCAAAGCAACTTGTAAGTGAATTACCTAACAGGCACGCACACCGCCGCAACAATTGATCCCTGCATGTGCAATGGCATGCGCAAATGCACGTCTGTGTGTGTGTGTGTGTGTTTCTATCTGTGTGTGTGTGTGTGTGAACACTTTTGACAGTTCAAAAGTTGCCACTGCATGAATGGCAGCGAGTGCTGCATAAATTTCTAGGTCGTCGCCAGTGCCAGTTTGCCAGTTAGGGCACTTCAGAAAGCCCCCGGCTCGATGAGTCGTCACACTATACATATGTACTTGTACATATATGCATGACAATAGATATGTATAGGAGTGTGTGCCCCCATCTCAATGGTGTGCGCGCATAGTTTCTACATAAATTTGCAATTTTCTAAATTCAAATTCTTTGTAAGTTGTCAGTCAGTCAGTCGGAGCCAATTTCCCATCTAGCCAGCAAATGGGTCTGCTAGCGCGTGGAATATATGTAGCATATGCCTAGGCGCATAGACGCATAGACTCATGGGTGCTTGTGTGTCGAAAGTTTGTGCAACGCCTACAATGCAGTGGCAAATTGTTGCCGCTGTGCCACTTAACCCATTTGAGGTCGCTGTCCACACTGCACACAACGGACAAGAATCAACGTGCTGACCCATATTCCGATTCGATGGAAATCAATTAAATCACTTTATCGAAAAGTATAGATAATAGAAAGATATAGACTTAGGTATTGCTGGAAGATATTGACATGCGAGTAAATCTGTTCCGTTGTGATGCAGCGCGACCGTAAATGGGTTAAGCATATCGATTGCACACACACACACACACACACACACACACACACACACACACACACACACACACACACACACACATCTCTCTGCGCACTCTTAAACTTTTGGTGTTTGCCGAGATTTTCCACTTGCGCCAAAGTTGTTCAGGCCGGTGCCGTTGCTGTTGTTACTGCTCTTATTCTTGGCTTACTGCTCGACCTTTAAGCCGTCATCATCCATGTACGTACGTGTGCATATATCTTTTTATATATATCTGTGTGTGTATGTGTGAGTGCAACTTTTAACTTTTGCTACCCAAGAAACTTGTCGAAATTCGCTGGCGAAGTAGATGAAAAGTGCAAAGTATTTCTGCCATGACACCTAAGCATTTGTATATGGGGCTTGGTCTTGGACTGAGACTGGGACTGGGACTTTGTTTATGTGAGTGAGTGAGGAATTTCATAACCAAGTGTAAGTGGAGAGAGCTTAGAGCGAGCAAGAGACAGAGCGTGAGCGTGAGCATGAGCGAGAGCGAGAGAGAGACAGAGTTAGTTGGTAGTTACTTTCATTTTCTTAATTTACTTTTGGAGTCGTATTAGTAAAGGTCTGGCATTCCATTCACTTACACACACCGATTATATAGTATGATATTATTATGAGTACACACAAGGTTCATGTTCATGTCTATATGTTTGTAAATATATATTTATTTTTATATTTTTGTATAGCTAGCGAGCGAGCGAGCGAACGAACGAACGAGCGAGCGAGGGAGAGAGAGAGAGAGAGAGATGATGAGAGAGATAGTGAGAGATAGCGGTTATACGAGTATATAAATATATGTATATATACTTATATATTTATACTACTGTTGATTCAGTGGTTTATAGTTAGTAATTGATGTGGTTAGTTAGTTAGTTAGTTAGCTAGTTAGTTGATCGTTAGTTGGGAAAAGTTGCATTTGCAGTTCTTTGGAAGAGGAGGCTTTGGAGGAGATTCTGGAATCTGGAGATGTGTCGCACACATACACACACACAATGCAGAAGAAGATGCAAACTTTTAGTAATGAACTGTAAAAGCACCGTTCCTCTTAATGCGACGCAGCGAGCAGTAATATGCCATAACGGCTCGCAAACTTTTCCATTTCTGTGTCCCATGGCCGTTTCCATTGTTTCCATTGTTGTTCCTATTATTGTTGGCCTCGTTGTTGTCGTTGTTGTTGCCATTGCCATTGCCGTTGCTATTGCTATTGCTATTGCTCTGGCTGCTGCTGCTCTGATGCCATTTGCCAAATGTGAGCTTGCTGGCCGTGGCGGCGCCAGTGCTGCCAGCATCGATGCCCAGCAACTCCTCAGGATGCTCGCTGATGAAGGAGGAGAGCGTCCTCATCTGCATGCAGCTCGAGGAGTTCATCAGTCGGCCCGCGTAGGGAGCTGTCGTCGTCGTCGTTGCCGTCGAGCTGCAGTCGGAGGACGGACTATTCACGTGCAGTCGCACGTGCCGTTGCTGCTGCTGTTGCCGTGGCCGCCCCATCCCCTCCAAAGGACTAGAGAGCGCATTGGCCTGTGCACCGTGCGTCATTATAAGTCTATCCCTCTCTGTGTACAATCTTAAACTACTTGCTCTGCAGCTGCAATTCACTTGCGCACACGTTACTGATGAGTTGGCCGATCTAACAATTCGATTCGATTCGATACGATTCGTCGTCGTGATTTGTGATGTTGCGAGGGGCATATGGCAGATGGCAGCAGGGGGGTGCGGGCATGACGGTATAAATAATACTTATTGATTGTATCAAGATTTTTCGATTGTGTTAACAATTAGGTGTGTAGTCATGGCGCCATACTTGTATTTTGAGAATGCTGCCATTCTCCTCATACCCATCAAGAGAGTTGAATGACTCGAATGTACTAAGTATGTAAGTTTGTGATGGCCAGGATGTGGAAGGCAGATTCGTAGACCTCCAAACGAATGGGTGTATCGATTTCAAAATGTTAGTCTTTTCGTTTGTTTCAATCGCTTGCAGAGACTCTTCAACCAAATCTAATCAACTTTGCTAACAAGTACGAGTATGCTGGAAGTCCAGAATTCTGTCCAGCGAGTATCACTAGTATCGTTATCTATAAATTACTGTTCTCTCTTCTTTTTTCGAGTGCTGTTATGTTTCTTCCTCACCAATAACTGCCCATATCAAGATTACTTATCTAACTAAAAACGATGCTTCGATACTTCGTAAGGGGTCTTCCAGCTTTCGAGTTTTTATATGCCAGCAGAGGTTATGCGTCTGTTTTATTTATCAGAAAAGTATTAAATAATGAAAAGCATCGTGGTATCAAGTATTGAGTAGAAACATGCTTTTTGTTGAGCTCAGTTTGAATTCAGCAGATAAGCTACGAGAGCTGTCGAGTTTTCGATACTTGATGTACTTACAGAGTCATTGAGTAGATATTCATAGGTTTTCTGAGTATTAATCGAAGTTTGGAAAAGTTTTAAATGTAGCGCATCAAGTCCTCGATTGTATTGCGGAATTAAACTGAAAAGAGCTGCTATGTTAAGCGATAAGCAATACTTTTTATACAAAGCATTTCAACAGACTACAAAATGATGAATATATATTAGTTTTTTTCAGTTACGAGTCTTCTCTGCCCAACGTTAGAAACAATCAGAGGCATCGAAAGTAAAGAGGCATCGTTTATTGATATTCACCTTATTTCTCAAAACGAAGTCCGTTTGATAATCCTTTGTTTTCCTGCTCTGCTTTATAAGTTTAATGCAAACAATTTGCTACACCTAATTCTCTTTATGGATGTACTATAAATACCCATTTTATTAGATCAAAAGTATTGCCATTGCTTGCTTACTCCAAGAGGAGGTGGCATATACACTTTATACTTGTATGTACATATCTAACGCGATTCGTATTGACAGTTAGTTATTAGTTCCTCCACACGCAATTGTGGTTATGATTTCGCCCACACCTAGCACTGCTGAGAGCTGAGAGCTGAAAGAAAAGTAAGAAACTAAGCCATAATTGTTCCTAACACGCTTAATAGAATCCTTGGAGAGCGTGCGGATCAAATCAATGCAGCATAACTTGCTAAATTGCATTACATTAGCGAAAAGGATTTCTGCAGACAGATACACAGACAGATAGACAGACAGACGGACAGACAAAGTACATTTTTGTGGGCGTATTAGTGGAAATGGAGCTGCCAGAGCGTGCTCAAGTATGTGCATGTCTGGGTTCGCTTGAGCGACAGCTGGCAGCAGCAAACAACTGTCAAATAGGTCTCCCGGGAGGAGTAAAAGAGCAAAAGCCAGCCAGCGAGCCAAACAAACAAAGACAAACACATGAAGTTAATTAATGAAACAAAACAAAGCACACATACACGATGCGACAATATAATTGTCATGGCTAATTTCCTGCGCGCATATGTGTTATTTGTGTGTGGATGAGTCCCAGTATATATATATATATATATATATGACTAAATGGGTGAGTGTCAACTGTACCTAATTGTAAGCTTTTACTTTTTTTTTTTGTTTTTGCTTAATAATCGTTTCGCACGCCCAGTGGTTCGCATAATTATGGCAATATTTTATTTCGCTAACAATTATTATCTATCAATGCATAAGCAATACGAGTTCGATATAAATGCGGATACGAAATAAAAAGTCAAAACTAACAAACACATACCATAGTTAGGCCAAAAGCCGAGGCGAACTACAAATGAGAGCTACCTATGTATGTACGAGTATGTGTGTGTATGAATCGAACGGGGAGGAGCCGATGAAGGCCGATGAAGGCGTCAATGAATGCATCAATGAATGCACTTACATTTTAATTGATGGGCACTAATTGTTGTTGATTTAATTTACTGTTTTATTGCACAGCACAGTTGTGCGCTTAAATGCGTATGTGTGGGTGTGTGTGTATGCTATTTGGTGTTTGGTGGACGGGTGGCTGGTTATGTGTTTAATCAAATAAAAGCTGTGGCTGCCCAAAACAGTATGCTACATATTTATTGTTGGCCATCAATTATGCGCTTTGGCGCGCACTTCTGTATCTGTATCTGTAGCATGTGTGCTGATATACGAGTATACGAGTATATGTGTGGTGGATATATGCGCTGCATGATAAACGCAAGCATGTGTGTATATATTTGTGAACTTAACTTTACATTGTGTAAACGCTTTTCAATTATATTTTATTTACTTTCAACATATTGTTTTATGTATTAAGCTTTTAACTCGATTTTATTTTTGAGTTTTATGTGCACACGGCCTTCTGTTTGTTTGTGTGTATGTTTGTATGTATGTGCTTATGTGTTTGGTTTTTATTTTCACGTTTTTTCTTTTTTTATTGTTTTATTTAGAGGCTCTCGCAAATTTTACAAACAAAATTTGTTTACGCTTGGTGGGTATTTTGTTTTTGTTTTTGTTATGGTGTTTGATGGTTTTTTTCCTTGTTTTTTGGTTTTGTTTCAATATGGCACAAACTGTACAACTTTTAGGTATACAAAATATGCACACATATGTATATATATATATGTATTTTATTTATGCTGGGTATATAAGTGGCACATGTGAGTATATAAATGTAAGGCATGGGTGTGTGTGTGTGTCTCGCATGTCCCTGCAAACATTTCCCAAATTCAATTTCTTGGGGATTATCGAGCGAAAATTGTAGCTTACGCGACATAAGTAAATCATATACAAGTATGTGCTTCAAATTAAAAGAAACCCTTCGTGTACGGCATAACAACAGTTGGACACCATTTTAATGCTATAATAGAAAATTGAGAAGAGTATCTTCAATTACAAATACAGCTTGATACTTGGTGCTTCAAAAAACCTCAAACGTGTTCAAAATTCTCGATATTTTTGCCAGACATCTCAAATTATACTGAATGTTTTGCAATATATTGCATAGTTAGTGCATTGAAATGTTGGTGGTATTTCTTTCTTCACTGGGAGTTTCTGATAAGTAAGCACCTATTTATTCATTTCATCATTTATGTCTTAAAGTATTAGCTTTTGAAAATAGCTTAAAGTTTAATAAAAATGCCTCCACCTGAGAAATTAGTTTTCTACAGCACTACATTGTAAAATCTGAAAATTTCTCCTCACTTAACGCTTCGAAATGTTTGCAGGGATGTTCCATGTGTGTGTGTGTTTGTGTATTTTGAATATTTTTGTTAATTTGCGTTTGTAACTCATGCGATTCGAAACTTACCGCTGACTGGGACTCTTGCTATCCGACGAATGCGCCCCACTGTTATTATCATCATCGCCGCCTCCGCCCTTGTGATGCTGATGCTGATGATGTCGCTTGTGATGCGCATCCGTCGCGCCACCGCCGCCACCGGAGCTGCTCGTCCCCGTCGGACTGATGACATCAGTGTCACTGTTGCACTCAAGCCTGGCTATATCCTTCGCAAATTTGCCGCCGTGCTGCTCATGCGTTTCCATCTGCAAGCACAGCCGATAAAAATTTATTTTAGTGCGTGCGCCTGCAGGTATGCAACAGAAAATACATCAAGCAGTCACAGACAGAGAGAAAGAGAGAGAAAGAGAGAGAGAGAGAGAGAGAGAGAGAGAGAGCGAGCGAGAGATATTGAAATGCATATCAAATGCATCGTATCGAATAAATTGCTCATTATGCAAATGTCTCGGATTGGCACAGTATGTCCATGAAATGGCTGCTCTGAAGGGGGTGGAGGGGGGAGGCCACTGGAGGAGAGGAGGCAGGATAGGGAGACAGGGAGATTGCGGCCTGACGGCGCCAACGTGCACGCCATGCCAATGAACCCAATGCGCATTTCGATTTCCATGTGCAAGTCAAAGATAATCATTAAACATGAGGCATGAGGCATGCCTCCCAGGGAAAATCTTGTGTGAAAATCGCATGACGTATAATTAAATTTTATTGCGTTTGATTCAATCGCAATACTCGTAGACAGCGTGAGCTCTCCGTGAAATTGTTCAACAAAATGTACAGAATTTGAATGGAATGTTGTGAATTTGTTGAATTGATTTCGTTCGTTGCCTTCAATCATTTCAGTATTAATGTGATTAACAATTAAGGGGACGACAAAAGCAATGCAAATGGTTGTCTGCAGAGCAAGTATTTGAGCAGCAGAACAATTGCAGAGAACTTTAAGCAATCAGCTTATAGACCACACAGGATATTCAACTGATGAAGGACGTTAAAGGAAATACGAGTATTCCCAAACATTTATGAGCTGTATTACCATTACCATTTATTGGAGAGTTGGGGATATTAGGGCCACCAAGTTGTTAAATTACACAAAACTGTCATGCACTTCACATTTCCACAATCTTTTTTTCTTTTTTTAAATATACTGTTATAAGTATTTGTAGCTTAAAGTAAACTTAAACGTAAATACAAATACAACTTAAGCTGGGTATTCAGCCTTAATTACAATTTAACATTTATAATTTATATAAATCTGTTGGGAGGGTCAATAAGGTGTGTCCTTCTCACTATTCTTCTCAATATTCTTCTTCCTTTTCTTCGCCGTTTCAGCAGGCGCCTTGCTAATGCATTTGTGTGGGTTCGCAGGCGCTCCATGTAATGAGCAGCCTGCTTATGTAGCACGTCACCAACTTTCTGCACCCCTAGATCTACAATCAGAAGCAGAAAGAGCACTATTTTGTGCTTTTATCGATCGAATCAGCAGAACTGCACTCAATTGTAATTATCAATCAAATCAGTTGTTGGTCGACCTTAAGGTTTCGATAAGCTGCTTAAGTCTTACGGCACCGATGTCACGCATTCCACATGCAAGTACATTCGAATAATTAAGTGTGACAACTGGCCTTGCAATCAAATTAAAATTAAATGTAATCTGCGGTCGGTTTTGCACACAACTTAATCAATAAGTGGAATACTGTTTTTTCGAAAGGTCAAAATGTCGATTGAACTAAATCATACCACAATTTTAATCACATTCTCGACCAGCAGCAGCCAACAGCAAGCGAGAACAAATTTTTATTTTCGATGCAAATACAAATGCCAGCATTTTTATGCAAATGCTAGCTCATCCGCCTGTCGGTCTATCCGCAAAGTGCTTGCATCGGTTTATGCAACTGTTTCCCATTGCCTTACACAGCTCAGTGTGACGAAGGTTTTCATTTAGAATCTCGTTTAATATTCCATTTGCAATTCTTTTCTGCACCTCTAGTTGTTCCAGAGCGGCAGTCCCCCAGCTGTTCAAGTCTTTAGGCCGTGGGCTGGGCTACCCACAGGGAATGGGAGGGGGCGGAGGTTGATTTAGGCAGTCCTGCTCAATGAAGCTAACGGGCAGACTGTGTTGTTTTCGTGTATTAGCTGTGGCTTAGTCAACAGCTTGGTCGTCTGCGATTTCTTAACCGCAAAAGTTTGGCAACTTTGGCACACAACTGCGGCCAAAACGGCAGTTAAGGAGTCAAAAGCCCGAATAGGCCAGTCAGGCCAAAAGAGGTGGCCAGTGGGCTGTGGGCTGCGCTGCGATGACACTTCGGGGACGCATTGCTAGCCAGGATGTGAGTAGAGCCTGCAACCACAAAACGCCATATTTTTGACCATAATATTTGTTCATTTTGCTCAACAATTAGCTGCAAAGTCAAGTGGCCGGCATCCTGGAAAGCTGCGCTAGGAGTAGGGGAAAGAATTTTGCTTTTGTTGTTTTTCTAGGCAATTAAATGTGCGAAAAGTTTTGTCAATGCTTGCTGCTTCACATGATTCGAATTTATTGTGGTTGCCTGCCAGGAGCCAGAGCAATAATAACAGCTAGAACAACAATAATAACAACAAACGAAAAGCTGCCCCCATGGAATAGCATAAATTTTTATGTCAAAAGTTTTAGTGGCTTGGCAAAAAGTCCACTTTGTTAGACAATGAATTTATTTAATTAAGGCACAAAACAACTGAAAAATGCCTTTTATAGTCCGATATCTGCTGTTCATAACATCAGCGCGCCAATCAATATAGATTTTAATGAAACGAAAGCCACAACAAATATTGCATCTGCATGCAGAGCCCTCTATGTGGTGTCTACTACATCATAATCGAGTCTTGCATTCGAAATACGATTTATCCTTTCTTTAGAAATTGTACAGCAGACTTATTTGATGCCCGAACTGGGAGGCCTGCATCGCATTCAAAGTCCTGGCAATTGGTATGCACAGCAATGTTTGTATTTGGTATTTACAAAGCTCTTGAGTGGGGAGAAACCTGCACTGCATTGACTAGAAAATGGCAATATACACAAAAATATAAATAAACAAATGCCTTCTTGCCATCCATTTGGATATGATTTGCATCCCAGCATGGGACGAACAATGAAGTTGACTTTGTTTCGATGTCAGCTTAAGCAACAAGCTCTTGATAGGAAAAGGAAGGCATTTTTGGCAGCTTTAAGGTTCATTTCCACACATACTTATGCTGAAGCTTCCGTCTTAGAGAGTCAATTAGCAAGTAAGATAAGGGGAGTGAAAAGAAAAGTAGACCCATTTCCCAGCTCTACACAGTTTCAAGCTCTACTTATTAGGTGACAAGCAATTTGTACATTTTGTAGAGCATGCGAACTATATCAACATTATTGGCTTTGGGAGAATCAATTGATAAGCCTAATCCCAACACCCTCTATTCCATTTCCACATGCTCTTCGATGTCTTCACATTATTGCAACGATTCATGTTGGCTTAGTCCCTTCTATTTACCTTAAAGCGCTTTATTGGTTGACGTGAGCTCCGACTACTTTTGTCAGAGACAGAACCTGACAGTAAATGGCATATTAAATTAAGCTTTGCCAGATTGCCTGCCAAACTAGGCAGTCAGTCAATAATAAACCCCTCCAATTGTTCAATACTTAGTTGACTTGTCGCAAGCTTTGCGGTAGATTCACGGAATAGTCTGCCGAACAAAGAAAGTCACGTTGTACTCCTATTATTACCTCGATGGGGTGGGTTCCCTTAAGCTATCGAGCAAGCAGGGAATGTCTCTCTATGCGCATGTAGGATCCAAGTACTAAGCTAGTATTATATTATACAAGTATGGGAAGGCAGAGCCACAAAATTGATGCCAAAGGTCTTGCAGCAACCATTTATATGGAGTACAACGTAGCAGGAGGCTGTTGTCTTGACAATGTTTTATTTTGTTAGTGTCCGACTAAAAGGTATCTTGTTTGGGTCGCTTTTAAGCACTTGAAAGAGCAACGATTACTTTTCGGGATAATCCTATTTATCACCATGGACGGCAGTCTAAGAAACTGAGAAATCATGGGCCCACTACTCTCATATTCATTTTAAACATTTTATTCGCCGCGCCTGTGCGGAATCGTCGATATGTCAATCGAAAGGTATTGAAAGACATTTTCAAAATTTGCATATTAAATAAGTTGCTTATAATAACGTTATTTCTCGATTCTGCAAAGACTACTGCAATGTCATGGCCATACCAATCGCTGAAAAGTTGTTAGTAATTATTGGAATTTTAAAAAATAGTTTGTGATTGTGTTTGGTTTGATTTTGCTTGCAAAACTTCTGTATATCGAGAGAAGGTATAAAATAATGAAATGTTTGTGCTGAGACTTTCACTGTTAAGGGACGATATGGCCACGATAATCGACAACGCTCCACACACAGACTCCATGGAAGTAGAAAGAAAGGAGAGATCTCCAGAAGAACTTTTTAATAAGTGTATCTTCAGAAGCACTGAATAAATACTGCATTGATTTGTTTTCCAGAAAGGAAAGATGTCGAGAAAAACTTTTTAATCAGTGTACAAGTATCTTCCTTCTTCTGAATACTGCATTGATTCGTTTTCCAGAATATAATTAAGTCGAGCGTCCTGTTGTTTAAATCACCCATCTTTTGTAGCCTTTGTGTTCTTGGAATGCTCTCATGTTAGCCTTGAAGTAAGGCAGAACTGGTAACTATTGTGCTTTGGCTAAGAAACCACTAGGTCCTGGCGACAAACATTTTTGTTGGCTCTTCAAAGAAACGACTTCAAGTCGGTCCAACGGTCCATTTCATGGGCATACCTTATAATGATCTCCGCATTTTCGCCATCATAGACAAGTACTACTGTAACTTGTTCCTTTTTCTCCCTCCGTTATGTTTATTTTTTTTTTTTTTATATAGAAGCGGTCAGCAGTTGGTTATTTATTTGTTGGTCGCTCATCAAACAGCTTGATGGCATGTCCGAATTTTTAGCTTCGTCCTGCATTTTATATTAAAATTGTAAAATATTTTATGTGCCTATATCCCCAAACGCTTTCTCTACAACTGTACATTTATTATTTATGGTGGAGCGGGTGCCGTAAGCTGGCGAGCTCAGAAGCTGCTCAGTAATTGAATAATTCAGCAAATGGATGCATTTAATATTAGATATTTGCCCGATCAGCAAAATTTGTTGCATTTCCGCAATGTGTGCATTTTAAAAACAACAAAATTGTGTTGCAAAAAAAAAAAGTGGGGAATAAATGTTGGTTACAACATTTTGACTCAGTACTAAGAATATTTTCATGGCAAACAATTTCTGCATGACTGCCTATGCCCACCCACATGTCTATGTAAATGAGTGACTATGTGTGTGTGTGCGTGCGTGTGTGCATGTGTGTGTTGGTGCGTGCCACAATTTTATGGCCAGCTGGGGGCCATTTAACGTGATTTTTAATAGAGCCACACAAAAAAATGATGGCAGCAACATAAATTTGTTGAATAATTTCACACAAACGCACACATAAAAAAAGCTGCACGTACCTTAATGCTGAGTAACTGGGGGAAAAGGGACGAAGGGGCCGGGGGTTTTGTCTGTGAAAAATTATGGACTACAAAATTCTGTCTGTGTACATTTTTTTAGGGCTTCCTGTGGACAAATTTTTATATTTTTGTTTGCAACGACACGACAGCAAACTTCCAAAAACAAAAACAAAAAAAAAACCGATTCAGGCAGTCAAACATAGTACAAGCACTTAACCCCCATCCAACCCACTGGGTGCAATTGCACTCAATTCGATTTAAAAGAACAATTGCTATTCAATTGCCAAGATCAAGACTGCAATGTTTACTTACACTCCGATTAATTGTTGCTAAATTATATTATTTATAAAATGAAGAGATGATTTTTTTAAATTATACTGTTATATTTACAGCTTAAATTAAACTTATAGAATGAAAAAGTACGACTCAAAAACCTCCAGTATGATATTGAACATGATTTTGCAATTCACAATTATTGTCATATACATAGGTTTCATTAAAAGTTCAGTAAAAGTGGGATAAGTAGATTGTTGTTCCTTTGGTTTTTAAAACCGACAAACGATATAAATGGGTTTTAAGATCTGACATCGTAACAAAGATGAAGATGGCGAGAATTTGTTTTTCGAAACGCGTTCGACTTATTTATTTCGACTATTATACGCATAAAGATTGCAAAGAGAACTATTAACTATGTATACACAATAACTTCAAACTCAAGTTCCCAAGTCCCTTAGCATCTTCGATGAGTAACGAAAAAGTAAGGACAACTATTAAGGCAAGCTACAATTAGTGAATTCTATCTGGACACCAATTGGTCGGGATGTACTGCTAATAAAAATTTCAAAGGCCACTTTTTGTTAAATAGTGGATTGGCTTGTTCGCTATACACGTTTAAAAGAATTGGTCATCCAGAGCTACTTGTATTTGTTTTGCTTACCTTTCCAATACTCATTAAGGAATTATTTGACTGAATAAATGAATAATTATAGCGATTAAAACACCTAGAAAATATGGCTGAAAAACTTAATAGAAGTACTGATTTAAGCAACATCTTAAAGCCAGCTCCTACAATTTTATTTGGCCGACTATTAGAGATTTAAAATTGGGGAAAACAAGAGTATCCCTTTCATCAGTTATTGAAGATGGGAATTTGTTCGGAGTGCCTAAGGGTTAAAACGAGAAGACACTTCATCAGCACACTCACCGTGTATAGGCCCGCTGCAGTGGCCGACGACGAGGTGCCCGCCGTGGCTGCTGCTGCTGCCGATGATGATGATGATGCAGCAGCCGCTCCAGTGCTGCCGTAATTGAGCTGCGAGTGATAGCCGCTGGAGAGTATCTTTTTGTGTGCGGATGCATGCGCCCGATACGCGCTCACGCTCAGTTTCATGGTGACATCGACGCCGCCTCCTCTCTGTGCTCCTGGTCCGTGTCCGTGTCCCCGTTCCCTTCGCTGTCTCTATCTCTGCCCCAGCCTCTGTCTCTGCCTTTGCCTTTGCCTTTGCCTTTGCTTGCCTGCACTCCCAACCACACGCACACGCCTGGTTGTGGGCGCAGCGAGGTGGTGGGGAAGTAGGATGTGGAGTCGAAGTGGGAGTGGGAGCGGGAGCGGCGCTTCTATCTCAACGTTAGTGTGTGTGTGTGTGTGTGGGTGTGTGGGAGAGAGAGTGTGTGGGTGGGCTGCTGCAAAGGTGTCGGCCTGCCTGCCGTTTAAACTTGAGTTGTGGGTCTCTGAATTGGGTTTAATTGAGTGCCCAGGGGCGGCGCTGACGCTGACGCTGACGCCGACGCCGACGCTGCTGTTGCTGTTGCTGCCAACGCAACGCCAACAATAACAAGCTGTGAAAGAGCGATGATGATGACTACTGACTACAACAACAACAACGAGACCATGAAGTACAAGCAGTCGCCGTCGCAGCCGCAGCAGCACCAGCAGCAGAATATGATGAAGAAGACGAAGCAAAAGTCGTCCTGTGGCAGGACGAGCGTGAGGCTGACACAAAAAACAATGCGCACTTTTTATTGCCGCTTTGTTGCCACTGCTGGTGGTGATGTTGTTGTTGTTGTTATTGTTGTTATTGCTGCTGCTGTGCCTCTATTGTTTGTCTGCCAGTCGCCGCTGTCTGTCTGTTTGTGATGGGTGTTGGTTGTCGTTGTTGTTGTTGCTGCTGCTGTTGTTGTTGTTGTTGTTTTTGTTGTTTTTGTTGTTGCCACTGGCTGTTCAGTTTTTGTTGGCCATAAATGTCGCTGCTGTTGAGGCGTGTTGAGCGAGTGTTTTTGTTGTTCCTTTGTTTTTGCCCGCCTGCGTATCCTTTTCGCCTTTGTGTGTCGCTATGTGTGTGCGTGCGTGTGTGTATATATGTGTGTGTGTATGTGTGTATGTGTGTGGAGGTAAGGGGGATTTCTTAGCGTTGTGGCTCTCGTCGTTCTCGTTTTTAATTGTTTGTAATTTGGGTTTTAGTGCTCCTCTGTTTGTTGTTGCTGTTGCTGCTGCTGTTATTGTTGTTGTTGTTGTTGTTGCTTGTGCTGCTATTTCCGTTTGGTGTTGATGTTGCTGTTGCTGTTATTGTTGTTAAGGCCTCATGTCGCTTTAGTCACAAGTAGTAGGTGCTGTTGTTGTTTTAGTTCCTTATGTTCTGCCTGCAGCAAAAGTGTTTAGAAAAGATAACATTTAAGTGAAAATTAATTTAGATGGCACAGACACTTTAGTTTGTTTTGCCTTTACAAATGTGATAATTATCAGTCATGGCACACACACACACACACACGTGTATATTTAGTTGCCCTCTGCCTTGTTTATATTGCAGTTCAAATTAATTCACATAATATTGTCGTTTTAATGAGCAAGTTTTCCCAAAGTCATAAATAGCCGTCTAAGAGCCCCACAAAACTGACGACGACGGCAAGGACAACGAAAACGACAACTTTGCGCTGGCAAGTTCATGAACTTTGTGGCAAGTTTGTTTTCGCTTGCCACGCCATTGAGCCCGAACCCAAGAACAGGAGCCCGACAGCTCGAGCCCAAGTCCTAGTTGAGCTAACTTTTATGCTTGATTTGCGGTGAAATTGGTGAAATGGATTACACATTGGCCTGCGTCGTGAGCCCTGAGCCTTGGGTCTTTTGCATGCATCACTTAAGGATTTATAGAGCATGTATACGTAATACAAGTATATCGCAGAGTTGGGGGCGACAAATGGCATCGGTTTGCCCTCAAATGCGAAAGACGCCAAAGAGTAGAAACAGTGCTTGAAATTCCTTCGCTTTTCCTTCCTTTCCAGTAAATGCTCTCTTCATCTGCCATCCAAACACTTTACTTCAATAACTCAATTACAGCCATAATGCAGAAATTGTTGTTGTTTTAAAACACTTTTGCAAGGAAATTTGTTGTGATTATGACATTAAGATGCTCTAGAGAAGTCTGAGCACTGGGATAAAAATGCAATTTAATAATGCCTTAAATGACGCGTCGCAATAAACTTGGCCAAGTGTTTGCCAACTAAAATTGTGTTTTTCTTCTAAACTTTGCACAGACAATGCTTCCAAGTTGTCTGTTGTCTACTCTTACCAGCCGGCAGCCTTTGCTATTACCTGGAATTGGCGCAAGCAATTGAAATGGAAAGGCAGCTCTGCTCTACTCTGGCGCTCTGAAACCAAATAGCACCTATAGGGACAGATTTTGGGGCATTATTCCAATCAAAAATGTGACTTATATTCAGAGAGAAATGTTCAAATCCACGAGCTATATGTTTGTTAGGTAGCTCGATGAGTAAGCTGCGATCAGACAAATGAATAAGCTGTCATAACTATACACGTACTGCTTACAAAATCAAAACCCAAGTGAAAATCCTTGTCATTGCAGCAACATGAAAATCTTGCAATTGTAACAACGTCATGGCCATATCTTTAGAATCTAAATATGGCTTGTAGTCGAAATTGCAAACTTTATTTGTATTTGTGAATTGGTTCTGCGAGTAATTGACTATTAATTATTTTGGCTCGCAAAGAGGTTATTAAACGCCTACACTAAGTGGAATTTAATTGTATAATCCTCGTCAAACGATCTACTTGCCTCGCATTTCTTTGAGTTCTTTCGAGGATAATTAAATGACTTTACTTTACTTACTAGCTTCGTCTAAGTTCAAAGTTCTAATGGCCACTAAATTGATTGTGGGACGACCTTGGCCAGCAAGCAATAAATTTAATCGAGTCTTGCAAATGGACACCGCAGCATTGAATTTCTTGCTGGACTTTCAATCTTGGCCTCAATTTGATTTCTTAGTCCAGTGTCCAGTCCTTAGAAGTTTATTTAAAAAGTTCAACAACTTTGCCAAAAGTCACTCTCAGTGCACGCTTGCCGTAGACTCTACGGCGTAGAGTTTCTTCTGTCGCTAACATTTTTGAATTTTCTATAAAGTTGATTTAAAGGATAGTTGACTCCTGTTTGAAATTTCTTTTAAACACTCTTTCGTCATGGCCGCTGTGGAGTCTATAGTCTAGTTCGATTTTAGTTTATGGATTGCGCTTAAATTTCCATTTTATTTTGCTCTTAATGGCGGGTGGGGGTGCAGATTTTATGGCGCTTCACACACACACACACACACACACACACACACACACACACATTTATACGAGTATGCACATACAGAGAGTCATTAAATTGGAACTTTAACATAAAAGGCAAGCAATTACAAAGAAAATCCATTGCGTATACGCCATGTTATGCCAAAGTAAACATTCAATAAAACTTCAAACTAAATAAGCCACGCTTCTCCAAAGTGCTTCGTCAGCTTACGGGCGGGATGGGGGGTGTTGTTGAGGGTGAGGAGAAGTGGCAATGGCAATGCACCTGTTGGCTTTTATATGCGATGCCTCGCACATAAAATGTAATTATAAAGCATTCAAAGATTCTCTCGCACACCACACCGCACCAGCCATCCATCCAGCCATCCATCCAGCCATCCATCCAGCCATCCATCCAGCCATCCATCTAACCATCCATCCATCCAGTTAGTTGAAACATTTACACAAAGTAAGAGACTTAACACTTTGTGCAAGTGCTTAAACGGCTTACAGCTAAATATATATATACTATATATACTATATTTATATGTAGAAATGTGTGTGTGTGTGTGTGTGTACTTAGGCGCCGTCGCAGGTACAAATTTTATGAGGCAGCGGCCGGCAAGGACCGTCGAATCGGTACAAGCAGTCAACTGGCCAAGATTGTGAAAGCTTCCGTTTCAGCTGCACAGTAGCCCCCTCTCCCCTCCCCCACCTGCCGCCCACCACTTCATCAGTTGCTCGCACACTTTGCTCATATACATATATATATATGTATGTATATGTTTATATGCATGTATATTTATGCGTCTGCTCGAGTGGGTGCGTGTGGTTGTGTGCGCGTTTTTTACATAAAACCCAATGAAGCATCCTTCAATTGGTGCGACTGTCGAGCCTCGTCGGCAGATAAACAGCAAGCAGTGTCTGCTGATATGTCTCATGATTTCAATTTCCTCAAAATTTACGCTCCATTGGGCAGTAAAACAACCAGTCCCTCGTTGCCTAAGGCCCCTTAGCCTCCCAAGGCACCACGCCGCAAAAAGTGACATTCCCAAAAAAAAAAATAATAATAATAAGGAAAAAAAAAAACAAAATGATGGCACTTGTCAATGCCGGTGGCGTTCAATGCGGTATCGGGACACAGTAGCGTCCAAAACTTATCAGCATGCGCCAATCGAGCAAGTTAAATATTTTTTGAATAATAACTTTTCAATGGCCCTCGAAAGTTTTCCTTTTATCCGTTCGTTCGTTCGTTCTTTCGTTTATTTTTTGTAACACATATAATTGCAATAACATTGAAAGTGTCAGTGTGTGTGTGGCATGCGGCACATGCATAATGCGGCATGCAGCATAAAACTTTACCCCATAAGCTTTGCATATTTGAAGAGCATAAAAGTTGAGTGTGGCACGGATTTTGGTTTAATTAAACAAATGGCAGCTGAAAAATGAAATCTGAAAACTGGCAACTGGCAACTGGGCGGGCACTAATCGCTCGGCGTGCTTCATTCATCTATTCACTCTGTAGTACAATGAAAATACACTGAGAGAAATGGCGATATATAATGCTAGCTATCATATTATGGTCAAGGAATTCTACAATTTATTAACTCACTGGCTGCTGGCATGAATGCTCTTCAGAATATACTACAAAATGTGTATATTTTTTAATCTTTAATCTTTATGATCTGCCCTGAGCTGAACAATTATTACATTTTATGATAACTGTGAAATTTCTATCATGCTTCTGCCAGTTCCTAAAAATCACAATTTTGTATGCAATGAATTGCTTTCACGCTATGGATATATACAAATTGAAACTCTAAGTGTTAGCTGAGTGTTCACATAAATTTGTGCGTCTTTAGCTCTTATAGTTTTCCAAATATAGACGTTCATACAGA